GTCTCCTGATGCTACTTTCTTCATCGAAGTCCCCCTTATTGCTTCCCTTTACACTAGTACTCAAAATAAAAGTAATATAGCAGTGTGTGTCTCGCAGGAAAAATATCAAAGGCTAGTCCTTACTTGGGACATTGGGAATAAAGAACGGTGTATTCTGGGCCGGGGCAATAGTACTGAAGGTGAGGTGCTTGCCTTGCATGTGGCCGACTAGGTTCAGTCTCAAGCATCCCATATGGTCCCCTGAGTCGTCCAGGAGTGATTCCTGAATGCAGAGCCAGGAGTAACCCTTGAACATTGCTGATGCACTGCCCCCTGCTGCCACCACCACCAAAAGAAAGGATGGTGTGTTCTTCCAGATTTAAAAAAAATAATTTCAAGACATGTAATGACACACCACAATATTGTGTATGGCGTATGGGCTTTGAGGGGTCAAGAGGGGTCTGCCAGGGTAATCAAGGGGATGGAAGGGAAAGGGAGGAAATGGTAGTTCTTTGATGAACTAAAGAATTGATTCAGAATAGGAAATAGGAGGTTGGAGTCAGAGTACAGTGGGTAGGAAATTTGCCTTGCATGCGGCCGACCTAGGTTTCATCCCTGGCATTCCATATGATCTTGAGCACCACCAGGAATAATTCCTAAGTGCAGGGCCAGGAATAAGCTCTCAACACCACCATGTGTAACAGCCCTCCAAAAAAATATTAAAAAAAATAAAAATAAACTAAAAACAAAATAGGAAATAGGGGAAGGGGTGCACAAAAGACAGGGTGGTTGAAGATCCCCCCACCACACTTCAAGAAAGATCCCCAAATTTGTATAATTTCCTTTTGTCTGGTGCAAAACCTTTCTTGTTTTGGATGTTTTTCTCCTGCAACAGTATTGTAAATAGCAAAGCCCAGACGAGCATGGAGAAAAGGTTTATATTCGTTATATTCGCACAAGCTAGACCACCTAGCAGTCAGTCACCAAATCAGATACAGAGCTCAACAGATACTGTCACTGGAGGTGCTGGAAACTGGGGAGACGAGCCCAGGAGCAGACGCTTTCAGCCATGTGTTCTGCTGCCTTTGTCCCTGTCCCAGCACAGTGAGGTGGATCTCAGCACACCCATGAACCCCATCTCCTCCTCTGACTGCTGCCAAGGGATAATGTGAATCACAGCTGCTGCTTTGCAGGACACTGGCTCTGGTCCCCTGCAATGAGATGTGACTCACACGCCCTCTGGCAGCCAGGATTAGAAGGTTAGGGATTTGGGCCCCAGTTTCATAGATCCATACCTGGCAGCTCAAGGTGGACACAGAGATTTCATCTTACAACCTGTCTTTTAGCTCTCTCTCTCACACACACACACACACACACACACACACACAATTACAACCTGCTTTTAGCTCACACACACACACACACATACACTCACACACACACACTCTGTTGCTCACGTGGGTTAACCTGCTCTGATCCCATGAAGATTGTTCTGGTGTGTAGAGGGAGTCTCGTGCCCTGGGGTTACAGGCCTGGGATTGAAATTCTTTATCACACTCACCTGGTCCGGCCTCTTCTAATCTCTCTGCACCACCTTTCTCAAGCAGACCAGTCTCTAGACTTTATGGAAGTCGAGTCCTGGGTGACCCAAGTTAAAACCTAGTCTCCCATGAAAACACTAAAAGGCAGGAACTAGAGAAAGAGTACAGCAGGGAAGATGCCTGCCTTGCACCAGCCAGCCTGGCATCCCCTGAGCACAGAGCTAGGAGTAAGCCCTGAGCATTGTAGGTGTGGTCCCAAAGCTGCAGGGTGGGGTGGAGTGGGGGTGGGGTGCGACCAACAATAAAAAGAAAACTGTAAAGGCTTGGGAGTTTTGAGAGGATATAACAGCAGGAAAACTAGTCCTAATTGGCAAAAAGGGGGTGGTTTGGTAGACTCTTCACTCCAAATTGTTTTCTCCCTGGTGAAACAATTAGGCGTTCCTGCTCTGTAATCCTGGAGCTACTGCCAGCTTCTTGGAGATTTCTAAGAACACGGTGCAGGAACTGAATGAAAACAATATACACTATGGCGTATCTCCTGAGTGCAGTGCAGGAGATACGCCACGCCATTCTCACACAGTAGTGCAGTTAGCATCCTGGAGGGGATGGAACCCATGGCAGTTATCCAAGGGAGCAAATAAATAAAAAATCGTGTTGGCCCAGAATGGAAAGCGAGCTTCAGGGCAGATCAGCGCTGCTGCCCCACATGCCCTTGGCCTTTCGTTGTAGTCCATGGCTTGGGATAAGTCTCACATCAGCGCCCAATGCCGAAGGCGGATTAGGAGGAGACCAGAATATATTCATTCTAGACTCACAGTTTTTTGGCTTGGGTGTTTTGATTTTTTGATTTTTTTGTTTGTTTGTTTGTTTGGTTTTTTCTTTTTTTGCTTTTTGGGCCACTCCTGGTGATGCTCAGTTTACTCCTGGCTCTGCACTCAGGATCACTCCTGGTAGGCTTGGGGGGACCATATGGGATGCTGGGGATCAAACCGGGTTTGGCCACATACAAGGCAAACGCCTTACCTGCTGTACTATTGCTCCGGGCCTTGGCTCATGTTTAATTGATCTTTTCACTGTGACATGGAAAATAGTTATAGAACCTTCTTAAAAAGGAAAACTGTTGGAGCCGGAGAGATAGTAATTCCTGAGTGCAGAGCCAGGAGTAAACTTAGCACTGCTGCGTGTGACCCAAAACTAATAAATAAATAATAGGAAAACTATTTCTGTGTCCAGGACATTTTTCAGACACTAGTGATTCTGGGGGTTGGCAGCCAGAAGGATTTTTCCCAAAGCCCTGAGGAGCACATGGACTGTGTGGTTGAAATTCATTTGCTGCCCCGCCTTCCCCCACCAAGAGGGAAGCGGAAGTGATGCTCTGGGGCTAGCCAGATGGCAGTGCCTGTTGTCCCCTACTCTCCTTCTCCCCACTTCCTCCTCTCTGTCCAGTTATGCCTGGCTGCAAAAAGATAGCACCCACCCCCTGTGCTGGATCTGGGAGCAGGGGTATGGATCTTCTCTTCCTCCTGGGAGGAGACCAGCCTTTCCTGGGAGCTGGGACGCTTATGAGCCCCCTGTGGGCAGGTGGCTACATCTGACCGAGGCTGTTGCAGGAGAGACTTTTCTGGGACTGGGGTGACAGCTTGCATTCTTTGGCATGAAGGACCTCTCAGGTCAGGGGCTGAAGCAATAGCACAGCGGGGAGGGCGTTTGCCTTGCATGTGGCCGACCTAGGTTCAATCCCCGGCATCCCATATGGTCCCCTGGGCATCACCAGGAGTGATTTCTGAGTGCAGAGCCAGGAGTAACCCCTGTGCATCACTGGGTGTGACCCAAAAAGCAAAAAATAAAAATAAAAAACAATCTCTCAGGTCAGAAGTCACATCTTATTTAATATGGAGAGATTATTTCAATCTGATCTCATTGGAAGCATAAAAATCTTCTAAGAGTGATTTTTAAAGTTAACTTTCTGAAATATCTACTAATATTTGCTTAAAAAATAAGTTTTAAGGGACTGGAGCAATAGCACAGCGGGTAGGGCATTTGCCTTGCACATGGCCGACCCAGGTTCGATTCTCAGCATCCCATATGGTCCCCTGAACCACCAAATCCCACCAAACAAACAACCGCCAGGAGTAATTCCTGAGTGCACGAGCTAGGAGTAACCCCTGTGCATCGCTGGGTGTGACCCAAAAAGAAAAAAAAAAAGTTTTAAGAGCTGGAGGCATAGCTTATTGAGGGGCGGAGCATACAATGCATACTTTTCCTTCAGGAGGCCTGGGTTTGATCCCTGAAGCCATATAGTTTTTCAAGCACTGCAGAGAGTGACTTCTGAGCACAGAGTTAGGAGTAACCCCTGAGCACCTCTGGGTGTGACTCGGAAGTAAAGCAAAACTGAAAACAAGAATGATGGGACCAGAACTATAGTACAGTGATGGAGCGTTTGCCTTGTACACGACCCACCCAGGTTTGATTCCTGGCACCCCATATAATCCCTCAAGCATCGCCAGGAATGATTCCTGAGCATCGCCAGATGTTGCCTCAAAACCAACTAAATAAATAAGGGGATAAAACAATAACGAAGGGGCCTGGCTCAGTGGTAGAGCAAGAGTTTGATCCCCCGCACCACCCATATAGAATATGAGCACTACCGTAAACATATCCCAGCAACACTGCTATTTTTTTTCTTCTTTTTAATGAAATCACTGTGAGATACACAGCACTACTATTTGTGATTCCAGGAAACACACCAGAAGTTTAAGATTGGGGCTGGAGTGATAGCACAGCGGGTAGGGCATTTGCCTTGCGTGTGGCCGACCTGGGTTCGATTCCCAGCATCCCATATGGTCCCCTGAGCACCGCCAGGAGTAATTCCTGAGTGCAGAGCCAGGAGTAACCCCTGTGCATTACCAGGTGTGACCAAAAAAAAAAAAAAACACAAAAAGTTTAAGATCTCTTGTGCTGTGTGTGTGTGTGTGTTTGTGTGAGCACCACAACCAAGTGTGTGAGTTCTTGCCGTTGAAACAGTATCAACCACAAAGGGAAGGGAAACGGGGAAATTAATTAAATATGAGTCCTGCCTGGTGGTAGCCCTGGCATTGACAGGGCCTGGGAGATGGCTTTGCCAGGCTCAATGTTTGAAGCATCAGCCTTGCTGCCTGGGGACCACCAGGAAGAATGCCTGGGAGGATCTCCAACCTTCCCCTCCCTTAAAAAAGTCCCACCAAACAACAACTTGAAAATCATTGCTCTCAAATACATCACTGAAAAAGTTAAACATGAAGTTGCTTTTGTTTCCAGGCTGGCTGTTGGGTGGGCATGGGTGGAAGCTGGGGTTCCGTTCCCTTCAGTTCTGTGACTACTCGCGCATGAGCCCCGGGCAGAGGGCGTTCTCTGCAGTCACCCTCGCAGCTCCCTCTGCTCTGCCCTTCTCGTTTCTCCGTGGCCTGCCCCATCTTATGGTGCTTTTGTCCCTCTTGCCAGGTGTTTTGGATACAGCCATCGTTGATCGTGGAAGGAACGTGGTGTCTGGTTCTCGGGACGGGACAGCGCGACTCTGGGATTGTGGGCGCTCGGCCTGCCTGGGCGTCATTGGAGACTGCGGCGCTGCCATCAATGGCGTGGCCGTGGGCACTGCCGACAACTCCATAAACCTCGGCTCCCCCGAGCAAGTGCCCAGTAAGTGGATGGCAGTAAGAGTTTCCTCTTTCCTTTCCTTTCCTGTCCTGTCCTGTCCTGTCCTGTCATTTCATTCCTCTTTCATTTCCTCTTTCATTTTCTCTAAGCCCCCTTCGGTGTTTATCTTTGTTCCTCCTCTTTCCCTACTCTATAACTTGTTTTTTTTTTTATCTTCACCTATAAAAATATTATTTACTGCATACCTGTTTTGTTTCTGTTGCCTTGACATCTACAAAGCATGTGTATGTCATGGTTACTGAATAACTGAATCTCTTGATAACTGTACGAATAATAAAGATAGCTCAGTGACAAAATATTTGCCCTCCAGAGAGAGAAGGAAAGTGTACAGAGGCAGGCAGTGTATTGGGGGTTGGGGGGACAAGGGGATGAGGAGATGGCAGGAGGACAACACTGGTGGACATTGGTGGAGAGAGTAGACACTGGTGAAGGGATGAGTATTGGAACATTGACTGAAACCCAATCTTGAACAGCTTTGTAACTGTATCTCACAGTGATTCAATTTTTCAAAAGGGTTAGAGGCGTTTGCCTTGTGTGCGTGAGACCCTGAGTTCTATCCCTGGCACTTACACATCCCCTCCCCCAGAAAAAAAATTGGAAACAAAATGCAACTTGGGATCAAAGGACTTGAGCACCTGCTTTGAGTGCACAAGACCCAGGTTTCCTCCCTGGTACTTTGCATGTATTATTCTTTTATAATCGGTTCTTCTCAGAGCAGCCACTGTGTTCATTTAAAAAATTAAATCGGGCTGGAGCAATAGCACAGCAGGTAGGTCGTTTGCCTTGCACTCGGCCGACCCAGGTTCAATTCCCAGCATCCCATATGTTCCCCCAAGCACTGACAGGAGTGATTCCTGAGTGTGGAGCCAGGAGTAACCCCTGAGCATTGGCTGGGTGTGACCCAAAAAGCAATAAATAAATAAATAAAAATAAATCAAAGGTCAGAGAGATAGTACAGTGGGGGGGAAAAAGATAGTACAGTATGTAGGGTGTTTACCATGCATGCGACTGACCTGGGCTGACCTCAGCACCACACATGGTCCCCTGTGCCCCTCAGAAGTGATCCTGAGCACAGACACAGGAGTAAACCCTGAGCGCAAGTGCGCACACACAACACACACTCACACACACATATATGTAATATATATTGTTGTGGGGTCACAATCAAAAGACCACCAGAGGCCAAAAATAAGAGTTTAGAGGAGCCTTTAGTGACACCAGCGGTGGGCTGTCCATCTGGACAGGAGCAGCGGCCTCTGTTTTTATTAGGAAAAACCTCATCCTGGAGCTCTGAGCACTTTTGTAAGCACCTACAAAACTTGTTTTGCCCACAGCCTGGCCTCTCATGTAAGTTCACGCAAGCGCAGCAAAGCAAGCATTATTACAGAAGTGAGAAAAAGTGGTTATAGCAGGAATATATCAGGCGAACAATCCATCATCTTTAACCATATCCCTTTAGGACCCCAGCCCAGTGTTCCTGCTTCCAGTCCACTGCGGGCTTTCAGGACCTTGTAAGTAGTTCAGTGTACTTATGGAATGACACAGTTAAATCAGCCAAAACATAAACTTCTGAAAAACTAAACTTCTTGTTCCTCCCTTTCAGTCTCCTCTTTACAACACACACACACACACACACACACACACACACACACACTCACACACACACACTGAGATCAGTCCTTAGTAAGAGCAGGCAGTAGACTTCAGAAAGCCCTGAGCAGTGCCATGGGCCGCCTTCCGAGGCCCCAGAGATGCTGCAAGTCCCGCAGCTGCACTCACCATTCGCACAACTGGGAGCAGCAAGGCCGAGGCCCGGAAGCTGCCCACCCTAGCCTGGGCTTATGATGAATCCTCGTGCACTGTGAGCCCTTCGTTTCTCTCCTGCCTTGTCGCATGGCTCTCCCTCCGCCAGGCCTGCCAGGCTCTAGCCATAGACTCTAAATTTCACTGCTGCAGATGCTCCCAGCCTCCTGGTCTTTGCTTTATTTGGAAGATATTTCCCTAACTTCACATGTCCACATGTCGCATTCTCTAGGTTCTTCATAGGTGCAATTCAGATCTTTAAAGCTGAGGTTTAAGTTGAGAGTTACAGAACCAGAGTATAGTACAGCAAGCAGGTAGGGAGCCTGCCTTGCATATGGCTGACCCAGGTTCCATCTTCGGCATCCCAAATGGTCCCCCGAGCACCTTCCAGAGTAATTCCTGAATAATTCCAAAGAGATAGAACAGTGGGGAAGGCCGTTGCCTTGCACGAGGCTGACCTGGGTTCGATCCCCAGCATGTTTCTCCGAGCACGGCCAGGAGTGATTCCTGAGTGCAGAGGCAGGAACTGCTCGGTGTGGCCCCAAAACAAAACAAAAACACAGAATGATCCCGGAGCACAGAAGAAACCCTGAACACCACCAGATGTGGCCAAAATAAATAAATAAGTAAATAAATCTCATGTTACTTTCTCCAGTCACCATTCACTGTCTACTCACATTGAATCATATTGGATCATATTCTCCTGTTTTATTTTTTTTGTAAACTCATGTCTATTTGAAACTATCCCACGTTTTTATTTACTGATACCTTGTCTGTTTGTATATCACTATATCCTCAATGCCCAGAGTAGGGTCTGATATGTCATATGCCTGTAATAAATATGTATTTTGGGGAATGAACATATTTTATTTCCTCCTGATTTTCTGAGTCTTGAGTGTTCAATCTAGTACCCCTACTCCTAAGATGGTATTTTGTCATAGTACAAAGGACTTAATAATGCTATAAAGTTGAATTGATTGAAGTATATTTTACATGCAGTGAAAGTCACTCTGTTTCTGAATGTTTCTCATATGGTAGAACACATGTCTTGCAACTGTATGAGACCCTGGATTTGATTTCCAGGATTACATACATAAGCCCCCAAGTATGGCCACATACAAGTAACAAATCAACCCCCCAGAAGTCACCCTTTTACTTTCTTTTTTTCTTTCTTTTTATTTTTTTCTTTTCTTTTTTTTTAGGTTTTTTGTTCCTTTTTTATTATTTATTTATTTTTGCTTTTTTACCCTTTTACTTTCTGCTTTTACTTTTTAGCCCAAGTGAGGTAATGTTAGTTTCCTTGTTAGGTTTTAGGTATACAGAGTCTTACCTCAGAAACTGTATATCACCCCCAACTGCCAATAGCCCTTTCTGCCTGTTCCAGCATGTCCCCCCTTCCCTTGTGATACCCCTCACTCTGTTGTCACAGTCCAAAAAAGTTTTGTTTCTTTTATTTTTTTTTTTTTTGAGCCACACCTAGTGGGACTCAGGGCTCAGGGAACCTTATGGGTGTTGGGGATTGAATCAGCTATGTGTCAGGCACGCATCTTATCTGCTGTACTATTTTTCTAGACCTGAAAGTTTGTTTTAATTTTGTCTGTGTCTTTGCTGGTTATATTACTCATTATTAATCGAGCTCATCTGTTATGCAGGTGAACGGGAGGTTGGAACAGAGTCAAAAATGCTTCTGCTGGCCCGGGAAGATAAGAAGCTTCAGTGCTTGGGACTCCAGAGCAGGCAGCCGGCAAGTGGTTCTCTAAATCCTGGGGCAGCCGGGGTCGTTCCTTCACAAATGCTTTTACTAGTCATTCTAGATTCTGAGAAAGTTGTTTCAGAAACTTTTTTACTTGCTCCATGTGTCTTCTCTAAGGAGGCTGCTCGAGTGAGAGGCAGTGCCATGTACTGAGGGAGAGCCTGACTTTTGGGATAAAGGCACCTTTTATTTATTTATTTTTTTGTTTTTTTTTTTTTGGGCTGGAGTGATAGCACAGCTAGGCTGTTTGCCTTGCAGCGGATGACCCGGGTTCAATTCCTCCACCCCTTTCGGAGAGCCCGGCAAGCTACCAAGAGTATCCTGCCCACGTGGCAGAGCTTGGCAAGCTTCCTGTGCCAAAAAAGAGTAACAAGTCTCACAATGGAGACGTTATTGGCGCCCGCTCTAGTAAATCGATGAACACCGGGAGGACAATGCTACAGTGCAGTGCTTTATTTATTTTGCTTTTTGGGTCGTGCCCGGCGATGCAAAGGGGTTACTTCTGGCTCATGCACTCAGGAATTACCCCTGAGGGCTCGGGGAACCATATGGGATGCTAGGAATCGAACCCAGGTCAGCCGCATGCAAGGCAAATGCCCTTCCCGCTGTGCTATTGCTCCAGCCCCTAAAGGCACCTTTTAACTTCCAGCTTTTCCATGCAAGGTCTGTGACTTCAGATAGATTTGTTCATCTCCTGGAACCTCAGTTTCTCCATCACTGAATTGGTTTTAGTGGGCCTTATCTGGCACCATTTACGTGACGAGGATTACATATTCGACTGTTTTGTGGCCCTGGTTGAAGTCACTTTCCCTCTGGGTCTTGGCATACTTGATGTAAAAGGACGAGGTGGTAGAGATTTCTCCTGTCACTAAAGGTTCATAGACCTTCCTATTTCACTGGGGCCTCTTCAACCTTGTTTTCTGTGTCCTCTTCACGCCTGACCCTCGTCTGCGTATTGACCTCCTAGACTTAGGCCGTGGCCCTCCATTTACTCAAATGTCATCTGTGGTCCTTTTAGGATATCCTGGGGGTTCCACCTGGAGGCCGTATGACCCTAATTGAAAGTCTATCTAAAATGACATGAACGGGGTGGGAGCTTTAGTACAGCAGGTAGGGTGTTTGCCTTGCACGTGACCGACCCGAGTTCAATCCCCAGCATCCCATATGGTGCCCCAAGCACCGCCTGGAGTAATTCCTGAGTGCAGAGGCAGGAGTAACCCTTGAGCATCGCTGAATGTGACCCAAAAAGCAAAATAAATAAACAAATAAAATAATATGAACTTCTGAGGCCGTAACAATAGTATAGCAGGTAGGGAGTTTGCCTTACATGTGACCTGACTCAATCCCCGGCATCCCATATGATGCCCCAAGCACATCAGGAGTAATTCCTGAGTGCAGAGCCAGGAGTGTCCCCTGAGCATCACTGTGTGTGGCCCAAACCCCCGCAAAAAATCAAAAGTAACATAAAGCTTTAAATTGAGTAAAGACCTCAGGCATTTAGGGCTGTGATCACAGAACATCCAGAGCATCTTTTATAGAAGAGTTAACTGGATTTTTTTCTTCATGGTTGATGTTTTTATTTTTTATTTAATTTTTTTTTTTTTTTTTTGCTTTTTGGGTCACACCTGGCGATGCACAGGGGTTACTCCTGGCCCTGCACTCAGGAGTTACTCCTGGCGGTGCTCAGGGGACCATATGGGAATCGAACCCGGGTTGGCCGCGTGCAAGGCAAACGCCCTACCCACTGTGCTATCTCTCCAGCCCCATGATTGATGTTTTGCTGGGCAGAATATGCTAGAATCTGACAACCTGGGGTCAGAGCAGTAGAACAGCAGATAAAGCGCTTGCCCTGCACATGGCAAACATGGGTGTGATCCCCAGTACCACATAAGGTCCCTGAGCGCTGCCAGGACTGATCCCTGAGTGCAGAACAGGGAGTAAGCCCTGAACACTGCTAGGTGTGGCCCCAAAACAAAACACACACAAAAAAAAATTGACTTCCATAATTAAACATTTCTTTTTTTAGAATCTTTTATGGCCCAGACAACTTAAGGGATTTTGTTTGTTCACAGGTTTTATGTTTTTATTGTATCTTATTATTTCATTGTGTTGGTGATGTTTTTCATTTTCAAAACTTGTTCTAAGAATGTCTGTATTTTTGCTAATAGAGCCTTTGTACTCTGATTTTCCATGTTGGCTTTTTTCTTCCAAAGGGAAATCAGCGGGTTTTGTTTAGTTGTGTATTTTTTCTTTCCTTTTTAGAACCCTTCAGGGAGAAATGATCAGTATGGTTAACAAGAAGGACTACACTAAAATCTGTAATTTCTTTTTTTCAGGAGACAATTGTGATTGTCACTTTGTTTGTTTCATTACCTGCAAAGTGCCTCCTTTCAAAAGAGTTAGAAGTGTCAAGAAGCATAATTTCAATGTGTGAAATGCAAGTGTTTCTCAAATAGAGGGTTGTATGGAAAAAGAGGGAAAAGGTTTTAATGTTGAGGATCCTAGAGTCATTATTTCAAGGAGTTAGTAGTGTGAAAACCGCCCCCAGAAAGTATGGTATTAAATGAACTGCGTGAGTACTCAGACCCCCTCAGACCCACCCCTCAGTCCTGGGAGCGTTGCCTCCTCGGTTGATGGTGAACGCTTTGCTTAGATGAAGGGGGCTTGAAAGAGGAAGGAAGAAATGAGTGAAAATTTCTGTAAATAAGTGAAAATTTCCTTCTCAGGGTACCTGCTTATCCCTGAAAATAAATCCGTCTTGAACTAGCATTTTTGTCCCCTCCTTGTTCCAGGTGTTCCTCTTTATTGGCTCAGATGCCTTCAACTGCTGTACTTTTCTCTCTGGCTTCTTGCTGTTGGCTGGAACCCAGGATGGGAACATTTATCAGCTGGATGCAAGGAATCCAAGGTGCGTTGCCATCCATTGGCATGGTGCAGTTTTTCTATAGTGTGGGAATTTTTATTGACTTTAACATTGATCTGGCCTAGCATATAGAGTGCTACGGAATTAAGGATTTAGTTTTCATTGGTATAGTTTTTCTGGTGTGAATTGTCTTGGGTACATGCTGTTGTGACTTTCCTATAGTAAAGGTTGTTTTGCAAAAATTAAGCTTAAATAATCATAGTGCAGTGATAGAGCACGCATCTCTCTCTCTCTCTCTCTCTCTCTCTCTCACACACACACACACACACACACACACACACACACCACTTTAGAACTATTAATTTTAAGGAGCTTGGTTATTTTCTTTGTAGTATTAGATTCAGATGACTTAGGAATGAACTTGTTAAGTAAGCTAACACTATTTCATCAGGCTCTATCAAAAACAGATTTTTTTTTTAATTTTTTTTTATTTATTGAATCACCTTGGGAAAGGTTACAAAGCTTTCAGGTTTAGGTCTCAGTCATGCAAATATCAAACACATTTCCCTTTACCAATACTTTTTTTTTTACCATGAAGAACCCCAATAAAACCCCACCCCCCACCCCTCCCAGTCCCTGTGGGGCAGATGAATTCTAGTTAACACTCTATCTGCTTTGATTAGATTCATTGTTTCAATAAAAGATTCACCACTATAATTTAGAGTTTACCCCCCCCCCCCCCCCCAAATCAGACATGCTGAAAAAGCATTGTGACGTGATTTGCTTTCTACAGCTGGGTTCAAAAATTAAATGTTGGTTTTGGATTTCTGCTATTTTACTTATTGACCCTGGAAGTATTTATACTGAAAGTCAGATAGTTAAGAAATTGGTTTCTGTGCTCTGGAGTCGTGGCCGTGCTGGAGAGCCGCTAGTGGGGGGCAACTGGTGGCCTCGGTAGGGCGTGAAGGGCGGACCGAAATGCCCCCTTCCCATGAGGTTTTAGTCGCCCCCCCACTCCCCCGGCTCATACCTGCTGTCCACAAGGCTCCCATGTGGCCGCCATCTTTCTTTCCAGAGAGGAGAAGGCGACTGGGGCAACACCCTTTCCCCTCCGGACAGACATGATGGCCTGGATTAACGCATAGTCCTTTCACTTTTCTGCTCCAAGCTGCCGGGTTCTGCATTAAGTCCCTGTGCTTCTGGGGCTGTGGCCGTGCTGGAGAGCCGCTCGTGGGGGGCAACTGGTGACCTCGGTAGGGCGTGAAGGACGGACCGGAACGCCCCCCTTCCCATGAGGTTTTAGTCGCCCCCACACCCCCGGCTCATACCTGCTGTCCACAAGGCTCCCATGTGGCCGCCATCTTTCTTTCCAGAGAGGAGAGGGCGGAAGGGACCAACACCCTTTCCCCTCCGGGCAGACATGATGGCCTGGATTAACGCATAGTCCTTTCACTTTTCTGCTCCAAGCTGCTGGGTTCTGCATTAAGTCCTTGTGCTTCTGGGGCTGTGGCCGTGCTGGAGAGCCGTTCATGGGGGGCAACTGGTGACCTCGGTAGGGCGTGAAGGACGGACCGGAACGCCCCCCTTCCCATGAGGTTTTAGTCGCCCCCACACCCCCGGCTCATACCTGCTGTCCACAAGGCTCCCATGCGGCCGCCATCCTTCTTTCCAGAGAAGAGAGGGCGAATGGGGCAACACCCTTTCCCCTCTGGCAGACTTGATGGCCTGGATTAACGCATAGTCCGTTCACTTTTCTGATCCAAGCTGCTGGGTAATGCATTAAGTCCTTGTGCTTCTGGGGCTGTGGCCGTGCTGGAGAGCCGCTCGTGGGGGGCAACTGGTGACCTCGGTAGGGTGTGAAGGACGGACCGGAACGCCCCCCTTCCCATGAGGTTTTAGTCGCCCCCGCTCCCCCGGCTCATGCCTGCTGTCCACAAGGCTCCCATGTGGCCGCCATCTTTCTTTCCAGAGAGGAGAGGGCGAATGGGAAAAACAGATTTTGTATTGGTCCTAAAACTATCCAGTGGGGCCAGAGCGATAGTACAGTAGGTAGTGCTTTTGCCTTGCCTGTGGCCAACTCAAGTTAATGGCATCCCTTAAGGTCCCCCAGGCACAATCGCCAGGAGTAATTCCTGAGTGCAGATCCAGGAGTAGCCCCTGAACATCGCTGGGTGTGACCCAAAAAGAAAAAAAGAAAAAAAGACTATCCAGAGAGAGGCCAGGGAGACAGCACAGCGGCTAGGTGCTTGCCTTGCACTCAGCTGCCCCAGGCTTGATCCCCAGCACCCTAGTTCCATTAGGAATTATCCCTGAGCACTCCCAGCTGTGGCCCAAAAACCAAACCTCAAAATCCTATCCAGAGCATCACACAACCTTTTTCTCCTAGGTTTGAACATTTTTTTTCACTTGAGTCCCTTCCTCCTCTTGTTCTTTGTTAACCGATCCTCAGGGACGGACTTCTGTGGGCATGAGATCTCTGTGCACAGCGGTCAGATGGGAATGAAAGATAATGACTCTGTTGCCCTGAGGCAGAATATGTTTGTCTTGAACTGTAGAGATAAACACTGTCAGTGTGATCAGTGGTCCAAAGGGCTGTTCGCCTACAGTTGAGAAGCCCTGAGGAGACTGAAAGGAAGAACCCATGACTCTTAATTGGGTCTTGTCCAGTAGGATGCTAACAAATAAAGAAGAGGGGCAGCCAGATTTCAGAGCATAGCATCTATGGAGGCGTGAAGGCCTGTGAAGTATGGCCCTCTTCAGAGATCTTGGAGTAGTTAAACACATGAATATATATATATATATACACTCATCACTGTCACTGTCCTCCCATTGTTCATCAATTTGCTCGAGCGGGCCCAGTAACGTCTCCATCGTGAGATTTGTTGTTACTGTGTTTGGCATATCGAATATGTCACGGGTAGCTTGACAGGCTTTGCCGTGTGGTCAAGATACTCTCGGTAGCTTGCCAGGCTCTCCGAGAGGGGCGGAGGAATCAAACTTGGGTCGGCCATGTTGGCCGCTTGCAAGGCAAATACCCTACCCACTGTGCTATCACTCCAACTTATATACACACACACACACACACACACACACACACACACACACACACACCTTATATATGAGGCAGCGGCAAAGACTATTTCAGAGCAGGTAATAGGAGCTCGGTTAGGAAGGGCTGACCTGCCGTGCTAAGAGGGAGGTTTGGACTTTGTTCCAAGAGCAGTAAAGAAATTACAGCTGAAGAGTGATCAGCTTGTCCGTTTTCTACCATAATCTAAATTAGTTTCACACTTGTGCATGACTGTGGAGATAGACTCTGTTGTGTTATATCACCCTTACATAGGAAGTTTATTCTCGGCTATCTATCTCCTGTATTTTATGGAGTTCCAGCAGTTTTCAGAATTTTTAATTAGTCAGATTATAATTCTATCTGTAAATCTATCTACATTTCTAATTTTAGATACAAATTTTAAAATTAACACTGGACTGGAGAGGTAGTACAGCAGGAAAGGACTTCTACACGGCTACTGAGACTCAGTCCCTGACACTGAAGGTGATTCCTGAGCCCTGCCAGGAGTGATTCCTGGGTGCAAAACTAGAAACAAGCCCTAAGCTCAGCTGGGTGTGACCCCACCCTCCAAAAAGAGAAATAATGCACACAGTATTAAATTGATATCTTAGGGACTGGGCAATCGTGCAATGAGTAGAGCATTTGCCTTACACGTGCCAACCCAGGTTCAATCATCTGCACCACTCTGGTCCCCCGAGCATTGCCAGGAGTGATTCCTGAGTGCATAGCCAAGTAACCCATGAGCATCTCTGGTTGTGACCCCCCCCCCAAAAAAAAAGATTTGATATCTGGGGCCAGAGCAATAGTTTAGTGGTTAGGGCACTTGCCTTGCACGCAGCCAACCCAGGTTCGATCCCCAGCATCCCGTATGGTCCCTCAAACACTGCTAGGAGTGACTCCTCAGTGCAGAGCCAGAAGTAACTTACCCCTGAGCATCGCCAAGTGTGGCCCCCCCCAAAAAAAAACAAAATTGATATCTTTAATCCTTGTTCCCTTGTTCGGCCTCCTCTAAAAACTAGAGACTGGTGGTGACCTAATTTATTGAGCTCAGTGGTGTATTTAGAGACATGCTTTGACTTACTCCAAAATTATTTCAAATAAATTATCTTGGTCTCCCAGTTAAGGATTTTGCCAGGAAAGACGCCATCTAAGTGTTTGTCTCTGTCACATTAGTCGTATTTGATTTTATGAGCTAAATACTATATGTACGTAGATGTTGAATATAGTCAAGCCCTGCTTTTGAAGGAAAATGTAAAAGTGTCCCTTTCACTCTGAATCCTAGGGTTCCAGTCCAAGTCATCCACAGATCAGGAGCACCAGTTCTGTCCCTGCTGAGTTTCAGAGATGGATTTATTGCTAGCCAAGGTGGGTCGAAGGCCTAATTAAGAAACCGTTTTAAGTGCCTGGTCTGTGGTTGGGCTAGGGGCATGATTCTTCACCATCCTTAAACATACTATGTTTGTCCTCTAGGGTTTGTCACCCTCCGTTGTAATTATGTCTCTTACCAGCCGAGCTTCTTGAATAGTAGCCTATTTTGTCTTGTCACCCAGCAGTTAGTACAGTATCTGTTATGCAGTAGGTGCTCAATAAACATTATTCAAGGAAATGGATTGGCCCTTATTGCCTAAGACTGAGGATTCAGTAATACATCTGTTAGTCTTTTCTCTGAAGCTTAGAGTTAGGAAGGCAGAGAGACATGCAGAGCTGTGATTGGTGGTACTATACCAGATGAGTGTACCAGATGACCAGAACCACAGTCGACAGTCAGTGACTGTATGGGAACATGGTGAACAGCTGACTTTAGTGGATGCAGGGTTGTCTTCATAGACGAGGGGCTACTTCAGCCAGTGGATATTTCATTAGCTGGAGATGTGAAAATCAACCTCACAGGCTAAAATTACAGTGTATGCCAAGTCTCAGATGAAGAAAATGAACAAAAGGAAGGGCGCTAACGTTCAAAAGCCATTTGCTGTGTGTTAGGTATTGTGTTTGATACTTGATGGACATATTATAGATAAATTGATGTAGCCACAACCAAATATTGGACAAAGTTGGAAGTGGGTTGGGGAACAAATACATGGAACACAGTGTCTGTTAAGGGGCACCATCCTTATAGGGATGAGGAGGAGGACAGGGCTGGGCAGCTGGGAGGCACCCCCTCACCAGAGTATTTCTGTCGTCAGCTTCAGTGTTTGAATGTCAGATCACCCAGCTGGAAATGGCTTCAGTAACTGGGAACATGTGCTTCTTCCCGAACAAACCCAGGTTATGAGGGTTTCCAGGTTAATTTAGTAGTTTGAGAATGAAATCAATAATGGAAACAGAAAATTTGACAGCTCAATCAATAGACTGGATACAGGGCTTTAAAGACGGGTGAAATCCAGATAGGACGTGTCCCCGCCTGTCGTGTCCACCAGACCTAGAGTTCCTTGAGGTCAGGTGCCATGGTTTCATCTGTTCTCCAGTCCTTGCACAGGAAGAAATAACCTTGGCCACTGTTGCATGAGTAAGTGTATATCTCATATTTCATAGCATCATAGTGATGATACATTGTGTTTCTCTTCCTTCCTTCTTAAAACTAATAGCTCCCTGAGCACTGCAGATGCAGATCCAAAACAAAAACAACCCTATAAGCGAAGTGTGTTTCTCTCATCTTATTCTAGAGATAGAGATAGGCACACATCCACAACTAGTAGAACTATGCTACAGCACCAGAGGTGGAAGTAACAGTGAAATAAGACACTTTGTAAGAGATCAGTGGAGAGATGTGGGTTGCTTGAAAGGCTTCTTAGAGGGTCTGGAAATACAGTTGGTCTTAAAGGGTCTGGAAATACTGTTGGACTTATCAAGTAGACATTTGCATATGGAAGCTTGAGGAACAACAGAAGAGCTATAGTATTCATACATTTTGTGAGAGGAGAGAAAAACATTAAAAAGAATTTAACCAATAATAAATAAATACTTAAAGAAGTTACTTAACAAATTACTTGTTTAACTACTAATAGGAGAAATTGATACCCCATGTGGGAAATGGGGTGGTTATATGTGCCTGTGTTCAGGGCTTACTCCTGACTCTGCACTCAGGGATTACTCCTAGTAGGACTTAGGAGACAACATTGAGTGCCTGGGATCGAACCCAGGTCAACCAGGTGCAAGGCAATCATCCTGTCTACTATACTAGCTCTCCAGCACCTAAAACCAGATTATGGTTAGTTTCCCCTTCGGTTTAAAATGAGATTTCGAAAGGACTGGAGAGATAGTACAGGGTTAAAGCATCTTTGTTACAAGGGATTTTGTGGATGAGGTGGAGAGTAGTGAAAGGCACTGTGTGGGAAAGAGGTAAGTCACAGTCCTACTTTTTCTAATTCTTTCCTGCTGGAAAGAGGGCCAGGCATGCCTTTGTTATTAACACCTAGAAGCAAAGGGAGTAAAATATTCACCCTACTTTTGGAGGACAACACTAAGTTCTATAAAAAAAAAGTTAACAAGGGCCACATTCAGGATGGGGATGTGGCTGTGTGGTGAGTACCTGCCCCTGTGTGGGACACTGGGTTTAAGCCCTGGAGAGGGACAGACAGTGAAAGAAGCTAGTACTGAAGTGGCAGGCACCTTTAAGGCTGCTGGGTTGCTCTGTAGGGTGTGTAGATGGGAACTGTACCGGCTTAGAAGTTGGAAACAGGGTTGAAGAGATAGCACAGTGGGTAGGGTGCTTGCCTTGCAAGCAACAGACCCAGGTTCCATCCCAGGTATCCCATGTGGTTCACCAGGTGTGTTCCAAAAACAAAATAAAAAAATAAATAATATTTCTTTTACATAAAGATATTCTTTTATGCACTGTGCTGTTAGCTATGTAAAATAACATTTTACACACAAAAAAGATTAGAAAAATATGTAAAGAGGTGAAACAGGACCATGTTCAAAGTGATGGAGAGCATGTGTTGCATGCGGTCCTACGTTTGAGCCCAGAGTAAACGCCAAGCCAGCAGTAACCCTGCAGCATTTATGGGTGTGACCCAAACACCCTCAAAAAAATAATAATCATCGAATAGATTAATTGGGTGATTTTTTTTTGTATATTATTTGAGCACACCTGTGTTGTTCAAGGGTTACTGTTGGCTCTGTACTCAGAGATCACTCCTGGTGATACTCAGAGGGCCAACTCTGGTGCCAGGAATCGATCCTGGCTTGGTGTGTGCAAGGCAAGTGCCTTAATGTCTTATCTCTCCAATCCCAACATAATTTTAAATTTTTTTTTTTTTTGCTTTTTGAGTTACAACCAGCGATGGCCAGGGGTTACTCCTGGCTCTGCACTCGGGAATTACTCCTGGCAGTACTGGGAGAACCATATGGGATGCCGAGGATCGACCCCAGGTTGGCCATGTGGGAAGCAAATATTCTACCCAATGTACCATTGCTCCGCCCCCCCAACATAAATTTTTCTTAAAGAAGATATAGACACATCCCCTGTTAAAGATTATTATCTGAGAGAGGTTTGTAAATAGATACATAAGGCTACAGTTGTTTGCTCTGCGCCACAGCAGGTATTGCTAATTAAAGACGGCCTTTCTTGACACAGAGCTTGCAGGTTCTTTCCAGCTCAGAATTCTCAGATTCTCAGATTCTCTCGGATTCTCAGTCACCACCCATAGGTCTTAGTATTTTAACTAACATAATGAGAGCTATTTATTATTTGTCTTCTGGGTTTCAGGAATTTTGTTTGTTTTTATTTTCTTGCGGGGAGGTTTGTTTATGTAATTCTTTTTGCACCCAGCTGTGCTCAGGGGTTACTCCTGGCTCTGCACTCAGGAATTACTCCTGGCGGTGCTCAGGGGACCATGTGGAATACAGGGATCAAACCCGGGTTGGCTGCGTGCAAGGCAAATGCCCTTTGTGCTATACTATTGCTCTGGCCCCTCAGGATGGGATTTTTATTCGTTTATTTATTTTTTTGAGTGTATGTTGTTGTTTTGGGTCCACAAGTAGTGGTGTTCAGAGGCTGCTCCCAGCTTTGTGCTTGGGCAACAACCAGCAGTTTGAGAAACTGCAGTCTCAGGGTTCCAACCTGGGACTGTGTGCAGAGTGTGTGCTCTACTGTGAGTCATCTCCCTGGCCCTACGACAATTTTTTTTTAATCTTTTTTTTTTTCTTGGTTTTTGGGCCACACTGGGAGTACTCAGGACTTACTCCTGGCTCTGTGCTCAGGGATCACTCCTGGCAAGGTGTTGGGGAGGGGTGTCAGATGGAGTGCTTGGGATTGAACCCAGGTCAGCCTCTTGCAAGATAAGCCTTACCCTCTGTAATGTACAATATTCTTTAGGCTGATGATATATAGAAATAAATCAAAGTATTGAATTCCTTTTAATTTCTTTATGTAGTTTTCAGTTACCTAAATTTTTCTTTCTACCTTTTAGGTGATGGAAGCTGTTTCATTGTCCAGCAGGACCTAGACTATGTCACTGAGCTCACTGGGGCTGACTGTGACCCTGTGTACAAGGTACAGGCCTGGGGGAGTATCACCCAGGGTCCAGGGCTTTGAGAGGCCCGGGCTGAATACTTGGTCATCATTAGAGGTGATAAAATAGGGGGATGCGAGGTTCAGAATTTGGAGTTCCATGCAATTTCATCACTCGCTCCAGAAACACGAAGAATCATTTCACTTTCCTGTTCTGTCAGTCCATCTGTAAAAAGGAGATGATAAGTGAGGAAAGGCATATGAGAGCTCTTTGTAAATTTAAAATACTCTATAACTATTAACTGTCACTCTTACCTTTACCCTCTGTACTATCTCTCTGGCCCACCTGACTTTTTTTCAAATTAGCATCCTGGTGCTCTTTTTAGACAAATCTTTATAGATTTACTTCCTTTAAAAAAAATTTTTTTTAATTGAATATCCGCGAGATAGATCATTACAAAGCGGTTCGTGATTAGGTTTCAGTCATACATTGATCCAACACCCATCCCTCCACCAGTGTTCATTTCCTACCACCAATTTCCCCAGTTTCCCCACTGCCACCCCCAACACCCGTTCTCTCTCTCTCTCTCTCTCTCTCTCTCTCTCTCTCTCTCTCTCTCTCTCTCCCTCTCTCTCCCTCTCTCTCCCTGTGCATTGTGTTTTGCAGCGCAGGTACTAAGAGGTTATTGTGTGTGTTCAGGGCATTCAGTATTTTTTATTGGAAAGGTAAGGCTGGAGTAGCTGTTTTAATTGTGTGGCAGCTTTGCGGTTCGGACGTGACTGCTGAAGCTTCTAGAAGTACAGGAAGGTGGGAGGAGGTAGTCCATCCTGACCCTGAGAAAGCCTGGAAATTTCAGTCACAAAACCCGCATATCCATATTTTCTGCAGATTTTATCTTGGTGAGGCCTGTCCTGGGACAGTGAAATCCAGCTGGTGTATGGTGGCTATTTTGGACTATGGAAGCACGTGTCTGCTGAGGGTTCTGCTTGGGCAGACACCAGGCTGTCCTGTCCCCGTCCCATTTACCCTGGTCTCTTCAGCCTTGCGTGGGTCTGAGATTAAATTCTGCAGCTTTTGATCTCTTTCAAGATTTATTTATGGGTCTCTGAAGCAAAGCCAGTAGAAGAGCTTACATGGTGGCGCTGGAGTTGGTTCATGGGAGTGACTGCCAGTGCTTCCGGGAGTAGAGGGAAGCGGGGGGAGGTAGCCCATCCCAATCCTGAGAAAGCCTGGAGATTTCAGTCACAAAACCTGCATATCCTGCTTTTCAGCAGATTATATCTTGATAAGGTCCATTCTAAGACAGTGGAGTCCAGCTGGGGGCATGGTGGCAATTTTGGATTGTGGAAGCAAGCAGCTGCAAGGAGCTGTGCTTGGTGAGGTCTGCTTGGGCAGGCACCAGGCTGACCCGCCCCCCTCTGATTTAAACCGTCTGTTCAGCCTTGTATGGACCGGAGATTAACTGTGGCTCTAGATCTCTTGAGATTTATTTATGGGTGTCTGAAGCAAGGCCAGTAAATCAGCTTGTATAGCTGAACTGGAGGTGGTTTGTGCATGTGGCTCCCACATACCTCACTTTCAGTCATTTTATTTATTGGGAAACTTGGTCCCAAGTTATTGGGGTCCAGCCAGAAGCACAGCAGCAATTTTGGGGTATCAGAAAGCCTGAAGGCACCATCAGGCTGCTGATGTACCCATCCTGCGGGTATAGGTTGACCTGCCAGCGGCACCGCACCCTCTAGATCTACTTCTTTTTTAAAATTCTTACATTGCGGGGCTGGAGCAATAGCACAGCGAGTAGGGCGTTTGCCTTGCATGCAGCCAAAATGGCCGACCCAGGTTCGATTCCCAGCGTCCCATATGGTCCCCCGAGCACCGCCAGGAGTAATTCCTGAGTGCATGAGCCAAGAGTAACCCCTGAGCATCGCCGGGTGTGACCCAAAAAGCAAAAAAAAAAAAAAATTTTTTTTACATTGCTTCCTATACAATGGATTAACATGACATTACATTTTTAAAATGAATAAACTGAGGCCAAAGCAATAGTACAGTAGTACAGACCACTGACATCCCATGTGGTCCCCTGAGCCCTCCAGGAGTGATTCCTGAGTGCAGAGCCAGGAGTAACCCCTGGGCACCACCAGGTATGCCCCCCCCAAAAAAAAAGTCAATAATAAATAAAATAAAATAAAACTGAGTAAACTGGAGCCGCGACAGCTTGAGGAAGCTGCCAGAGAACATGCACTACATGTCAGCAAGCCCTGAGATGAGGCTAACTCTAGAGTTTGTTATTTCTGCTAAGTAAGTGGCTCATCGCCTTCTTTGAGCCTCAGACTTTTTTTAGTTAATGAAAAACTACCCTAGGAAAACTGAGGCACTTTGCATTAAAATTTCACAAGGTTCAAGAATACCCAGCCATCTCCTCCTGAGTCCAGATCCTCTCCATGAAACTGCACCTGATACAAATAGGTTTGCTCTCTGCCTGGCCACTTAGTTTTAGTACTCCGAGTCATGCCAGCCTTTTTAATTTTTTGTTGTTGTTGTTGTTGTTTTGGTTCCACACCCAGCCGATGATCAGAGGTTACTCCTGGCTCTGCACTCAGGAATTACTTTTGGTGGGCTTGGACGGTATGGAATGCTGGGGAATCACACCCGGTTGCCTGCGTGCAAGGCAAGAGCCTTACTCACTGTACTATTGCTCCAGACTGTATGCCAGTCGTTTTAAAAGGCATTGTGGGTATGATTCCTTTTGTTTGTTTGTTTTGTTGTTTTTTGTTTTTGCTTTTTGGGTCACACCTGGCAATGCACAGGGGTTATTCCTGGCTCTGCACTCAGGAATTACCCCTGGCGGTGCTCAGGGGACCATATGGGATGCTGGGAATTGAACCTAGGTTGGCTGCATGCAAGGCAAACGCCCTACCCGCTGTGCTATTGCTCCAGCCCCAGAATGATTCCTTTTGTACCAGATGAATCAGTAAAACTTCTCAACTCCATTGGAATAATGAGGGTCAATGAAAAGTCTTTCTAGCAGGGGAGAGGGGTGCGGGGGAATTGGCATCACACAGAGTGGTACTCCTGTATTGGGAATCGAACTGGGTTGGCCCACATGTGTAGCTAGTGTCTTAACACCTTTACTATCTCTCTGGTCCCTGTATCTCTTATATGGAACAGCCGCAACTCTTGTGTTCCAGGTAGCCACATGGGAGAAGCAGATCTACACATGCAGCCGAGATGGTCTTATCCGACGCTATCAGTTGTCTGACCTCTAGACCCCGGGAAGCAAAAGAATCCGGTCAATGAAAAAGATCAGCCTGATCCGCGGAAACATCATCAGTCTTTCCCAGGGACCTTCGCCTGTTTGTGTCATGGGCAGTTTTCAGAACTTTTAGAAAGCAAATACTGTATCCCCAGTGAAACAATCATTCCATGATAAGACTTACTTTGAAGAGAGTCGAGAAACCCACACAGGCTTTTGCTCCAGCTTCTTAAATTGACCCCAACAGCACAGAACAAGAATGCGTGTGCTTAGAGCCATCTCACACCAATTGTGTTCAATGTTTACAAGCATCAGAAAACGCAAGCCTGTTTTCTGAAGGAAATAAAGGGAATATATTTGGAGGAGTCTGGGTTTGTGTAGTTTTATTTCATATGCTTCAGCAGAAAGCCTGTCGACTTCATGGAGCTCCTCTCTGGGATTTCACACTGGCCATAGGATGGCCCGGGGGGTGCAGTACAAATCCAGTAAGTCGCAGTCAGTAATGATTCAAGAATCATTGCTGGCAAGCTTCAGGGACCAAATGGGGTGCTAGAGACCAGACCCTGACTGGCCATGTACAAGACAAGCTCCCTGCCCACTGTACTATCTCTCTGGCCCCCAGTATTTGTCTTTAATTAAATATTTTCCTTTTGTTTTTTCCTTTGTTTTTTTGTTTTATTTTGGGACCACACCAGTTGTGCTCTGGGGCTGTACTTAGCTCTGTGCTCAGGGATCACTCCTGGCAGTGCTCAGGCAATTATCCAGTGCCAAGCACAGTGCCAGGGTTGCAGTAGCTCCAGCTTCATGCTGGGCAAGCACCTTAACCTTCGTACTATTTCTCTAGCCCTAGAACTAGAAATTGGTTTGCCCGAACCCACATGCCTCCAAAACCCGAATCAGAAATTCTATTACCAGCCCAAAGAGATAGTTCAGGGATGAAGGCACTGGCCTTGCATCCTGTCTACCCTAGTGCTAGTCCCCAGCAGCAGATAAGGTCCTGCAGCACAGCCAGGGATCACTCCTGAGCACAGAGTCAGGAATAGACTCTCAACACTGTGCAATGTGACCCCACCCCCACCCCCAAATAGCCCATGACTGAGACCAGCATCTGTAGTTTAACAGTCTCCCAGGTGGTTCTCCTGCCTGCTAACGTTTGAAACCTAGAGGAAGAGATGGTAGAAGCACTTCAGTCACAACTGGAGTCCTGGACTCCCAGATTGCCAAGGCTGGGCTATGGCAGAAGAGGCTGGAAACGTTGGCAGGCACCAGTTAGTGACCTCTCAGTGCCAGGTACAGAGCCCGAACTTTGCTTGGTTAGCTGCAAGGAACCATGGAAGGGGTCTGAGTAAGGGAATGACACGTCACCTCTTCCTCTTAAATACAAAAGGGGATTCATAACATTCCATGGCTTTATTTCCACTTTTTATCTCTGAGTTCTTTCTGTCAGTACTCTTTATGTGTTTGGTGTTTTTGTTTGTTTGTTTTGGGGCCACCATCTAGCTGTGCTTTCTCCTGGCTTTCTCCTGGCTCTGTGCTTAGGGATCACTCCTGATGGGCTCCGGAGGCCTGATCCAAGTCAACCACACACAAGGCGAGCTCTTGACCCTCTGTACTACCTCTCTCTGATCCTCAGTATATTTTGATCTAATTTTATTATTACAATTAAAATAGGATGTGAATACTATATTATTTCTATTTTTAGATTTATAGTTTATTAAATTTTGTAAATACAAATTATAAATAATTTATACTTTTACTTATTTTATAAATCATAAATTTATAAATAGAAAAATTATTTCATTTTCAATTTCAGTTTTATATTATTTCTATTTTATAGGGTATTTTGAGCCAGGTAATGTAGGCTGAGATTTGGATTGTTGGGGACAGAGAGATAGTACAGTGGGTAAGTCGCTTGCCTTGCATGCAGCCTATCCAAGTCCGATCCCTGGCATCCCATATGGTCCTACTCACTTTACCATCACTCTAGCCCCCACTAAGCTTACACATGAGCTCTATAACCCCCAGTACTAGGCACTGTATTTATGCAATTAATCCTCACACTCTTCAAAAATAAGTGGCATTACTCCTGTTTTCCAATAATGAAACAGGCTCAGGAAATGACCAGATTTGTAATTCACTTGGTCCATCTCCAAGGCCTCTGCTGCTTTAATACAAGACCTGTTCTGAGACCTCTAGGACCAGAGCGGTTTCAGTTGAGGAGGGATTTGTAACAGGGTTAGGTAGACCAGAAGGCACATCTTCCAGAACTCAGAAACGTCGAAAGACTACGAGGTAGGAGGCTGAGGGGAAATCTCTAGACCATGAGATTAAGAAGACAGGGTGAGGGGCTGGAGAGATAGTACAGAGAGTAAGACGTGCCTTGCAAGCAGCTGATCAGGGATCAATCCCTGGCATCCCTTATGGTCCCCCAAGCATTGTCAAGAGTAATTCCTGAGTGCAGAGCCAGGAGTAACCCCAGCATTGCTGGGTGTGGCCAAAATAAACCAAGAAAAAAGACAAGATGAGGGGCTAAGGAAGGTGCCTCAATGACCAGGAGCACGCGCTTTGCAGTGGGTCCAATCCCTGACAACAAACACAGGGTCCCCCAAACACTCCTGAGGATGGTCCCAAACCAGAAATTAAAACACAATACCAGGATGAGGGAGGTTGTAAGCAAATTCACAGAACTGGTGTAGATCCTGGGATAGCTGTTTTCCATTGCCATTGCATCCATGAGACCCATTTTCTATTGTTTTCTGGGCTGGAGCGATAGCACAGCAGTAGGGCGCTTGCCTTGCACGCAGCCAACATGGCCGACCCGAGTTCGATTCCTCCGCCCCTCTCGGAGAGCCCGGCAAGCTACCGAGAGTCTCTCGCCCGCACGGCAGAGCCTGGCAAGCTCCCCGGGACGTATTCGAGATGCCAGACACAGTAACAACGAAGTCTCTAATGGAGACGTTACTGGGCTCGCTCGAGCAAATCGATGATCAATGGGAGGGCCTTTACTTTACTTTACTTTTTACTCTGTTATTTGTGCCTAAACCCAATTTTGGAAATAAAATACTGTAACTTGTTAGGTAAGTCAGTGTATTCACAAGTGTGGGGGTGCTGCCCCATGCATTCAGCGAGAGCCGCCTCCTGTCTTCCCCAGACCTCCCCAGCAGAGAGACAAAGAGACAGGGTACCACAACCTGCTGGGGAAAAATCGCCCATTTAATGCAGAACTGCCAGCTTATTTATAGAACATCTGAGAGGGGTCGAGCTAAGGGCATAGGTGTGATGGGTCATTTACAGAGATAAAACATTTGGCAGAGGCAATTCTCTTGGGGAAATTAACTCAAGGAGACACTCTGTCTCCTAGGGACATCTGCATTGCTTTTGTCTTTCCTTTTAGTTGTATATATTAAACAATTAAGTTACTTCTTATCAATACTTGCACTTGTTTGGATAAGCACAATAGAGACAAAGATCCCAACACTTAGTTCTCTGGGCTCTGAGAGCAACAAGGCTTTTACCATAAATCCCAGACTAAGTCTCCTCAGTCCAGTTCAGCTTGTCCTTCCCCATGGAGGTCCTGTCTCTTAAGTCATAACAGCTTGCATCAAGACCATGCATTTATGCTTTCTAGACTGTCCCATTTCGATGTGGGATAGCTTCACTACTCGCCCTGGGTCCATCCCAATGCCATGGCAGGATCTCCCTTTGGGGTTGTTAGGAACTACAGCAACTGAAGCCTGAGTCAAGTACTTAAGACGAATGACCAGGAGTAGATATATTTCAGAATCAATCAACTCTCAAATATTAGGAGCATAGCATTAATAGTCTGTGTTTAACCAAAGAACATTACTCTATAGTAAAACATAAAAAAAGACTATAGGGGAAATAGAAAAGCAAGTACAAATACACAGGACTTCAAATACAAATCACTGCAAATACAAAGTCCAGAAAGTTTGGGCTTATAAGTAATGAAGACTGACTTGGGGAACTGTGACAATGAGAGGTAAAATACAAAGGAAAGGTTAAAGATAAACTTTAAATTAGGGGTGCTAGCAAGAGCATGGTAAGCTTCTCTGGGAGGAGGAAAGGGGGCGATTCACTGATGAAGCCTGAAACACCTGGGGTTAATATCCAACAGTGTCTGTATGATGTGTACTCCCAAGGTCTTAAGAGTTGATATTCTGCTTACCATGCAGTGCCCCATGGCACCTTCCCTGAAGTCCAGACCCAAAACGACGGAGCAGGGACTGGCTCTCAGGTGCACCCAGCTCAGTAGGCTGTGAAGAGCAGTTCGCAGCAGACAATGGCTGTCTCTGCTCTTTATCTCCTTCCAGTGAGGGCTGAGAAGTGCATTCTGGGTAGGAAGGTGGACCAGCCCCTCCGCAGTTTCACAGGCTGCAGACGTGCCCCCTTGTTACTTGGCTCTCGGATGCCCCCTGGAGGCCTCCTGAGAGATGTGCCTCTATTTTTCGGGATGAGCTGCCGAGCTCTCTCCCCAGCCCAGTTCTCACAGAGCTTTGCAACATAAAGCTACTTTCTTGTGAACAAATCTCCTGGTCGAGATATTTTAAATATTTTCTACTTTATGCCTTGTAGTACATTTTAAGGGGGTTGGGCCCACTCCCGGTAGTTCCTAGGAGTATTCGTGGCTCTGTGCTCTGGGATCACTCCTGGCAGCGACCATGTATGGTCCAGTTCTGGGGATTCAAACCAGGTTAGACATATTCATGGCAAGTGTTTGACCCGCACAGTTTCTCCGACCCTCTTGAAGTGATTTGCACTTGTTTTTATTTTTGGACCACGGCTGGCTGCTCAGAAGTTTCTCCTGGTGAGGCTCAGAGAAACGTGGTGCCAGAGATTGAACCCAAGTCAGCTGCGTGCAAGGAAAGCTCCCTACCCACTGTACTGTCTCTGGGCCCTTATCTTTAAAGCCTTCAGTACACTTTTTGCTAATGTCAAGGACGCTCCTGCATAACCCAGCCTGTCAGAATAGGGGAATCAGCCTGATCCTGTACTTGCATCCTGTCTGCAGGCCTCATTTCTATTTTGCCAGATGCCCCAACAATGTTTTTACTTTTGTGGTGGCGGGGATTGAACCAACCAAGAGTCTCACCCTACAAGACAGATGCTCTTCCACAGAGCCACATCTGGGAACAGTTTCCTGGGTAATCCCGCTCGCCTGTGGTCCACACTCTAACCAAAGGTTGCACAATGTGTTGTGTCGCCTCCACTCTGGAAAAGGTCCTCATTTCCCTCTTTCATGGCTGATATTTCTGGAATATAGGTCAATTTATAGAAGAAAACTGAGTTTGTTGTATCCTCATTGGTTAGCTCCCCTCCTTCCCCAAGAGACCCTACATTGTAGAAGCATCCTGTTGGAAACCCTTAGACTGACCAGAGAACTGGGGTTACCTGGGGTGGGTGGGGGCATCCACGGAAACAGGAAGGACCTGTGGAAGGCAGCGGAAGGATATTGACACTTTAATGGTAGGTTGTGATGCAGTATCATTGTGTGCCAAAAATACAAAACATTTACACCCTTGTAAATTATTGTTACTTTCAAGAAGAAAAAAATGAAAGAGAACTGGAGAGTTGGTCTGTAGAATTGAATGTGTGCGGGGGCGGGGGAGTTGAAAGGGGCCTGTGGGACCCTGGTAGTACTTTTAAGGGGGTTGGGGTCACTCCCAGTAGGTCCTAGGAATATTCGTGGTTACTCCTAGGATGCAGGAACTCTGATGGGGATATGGTATTGCAATGGTGTCTTCACAAAACCATCATTGACAGTATTGTAAATCACAGTACCTCAATAAAGAGAAAAAAATTGGGGAAAAAAGCATCAGGGGCTGGAGAGATAGTACTGAAGGTCAAGTGTTTACCATGCACATGCCCAACCCAGATTCAGTCCCCCCAGTACTCCATATGGTCCCCTGAGCCCCACCAGGAGTGACCCCTGAGCACAGAGCCAAGAGTAAGCTCTGAGCCCCACAGGGTGTAGCCCCCAAATCAAATGATAATAATCATCTTATTTATGGAAAAAAAATAAAAGTTTGACCATTCAGTAAACTCACTGAAATGGAAAACAGCATCAAGATGGTCACTTCTGACCACGCAATTCATCGAAGACCTGTCTTATTTTTAGCTTTCTTTGATTTCTTAACTTCAATTGATTCTCCCAACTTGGAAAGTGTTTTGTCTTCTAATAGACATAAAGGCCATTTGCCTCAAATAGTATGGAAGAGCTCTCTGACAGCAGGCCTGCCTCTGAAATAGCGCGGTTTCAAAGGGCCCGGAGAAAGTCCTTAAATATTTCAGACACTGATGCGCCATCATGCTGTCACTGAGAAATGTCCTTAAAGGGACAGCTTCTCTGTCCACAATTAGTTGAGGTTTAGAATGCAGAGAGATATCAGGCTGGAGAGATAGTACAGCAAGGAGGGGGCTTGGCTCAAACATGGTAGTCCTGGCTTCAATCCCCAGTACCACATATGATCCCCAGAGCACTGCCAGGAGTGAGCCCTGAGTGCAGAGCCAGAAGTCAGTCCTGAGCACCTTCTGGTGTTTCCCCCTTCCCTGAAATATTAATGATGTGGCAATATTGGTTTTATTTGAGAAAATGTGCCATACTCATGTAAGATGTTAATTGTAGGGGATACCAGGGGCAGAGTAGACAGAAACGTGGCATTATCCTTTTTGTTTGTTTTTTATTTTGGTTTTGAGCCACACCCTGTGTGCTTACTCCCACTCTGCACTCAGGAGTCACTTCTGGCGGGCTCTGGAGACCATATGAGGTCCTGAGTATCAAACCCAGGTCAGCCACGTACCAGGCAAATGCCCTATCCGCTGTACTATCACTATGCCCCCATTTTGGCATTGCCTTTAAAAATTCTTGGAACATCTATTCGAAGATAAACATATTTATAAATCTAATTTTAGAAACTCCTGATTAGGGACTGGAGACATAAAAAAGCAGTTAAGTGCTTGCTTCAGCAGCACACATACTAAAATTGGAACGATACAGAGAAGATTAGCATGGATCCTGCACAAAGATGAGAAGCATTCCATATTTTTTTTCCTTTTTGCATCACACCTGGCGATGCTCAGGGGTTACTCCTGGCTCTGCACTCAGGAATCACTCCTGGCGGTGCTCAGGGGACCATATGGAATGCCGAGAATCAAACCCAGGTCGACCGCGTGCAAGGCAAATGCCCTACCTGCTCCAGCCCCAGCATTCCATATTTTTTAATCACGAAAATTTGTAAGTCTGTAACGGTATCTCACGATGATTCATTACAATAAAAAATAAATAAAACAGCAGTTAAGGTGCTTCCTGGGCATGGGGCAGATCTGGGTTCAATTTTCAGCATCCTGTACGGAATGATCCCTGAGCACTACTGGGTGTGGCCCCCAAATAAAAAAAAAGCAAATAAATAATAAAATAAGATAAAAACACTTAATCGAAACTGGTTGTTCTTTAAAACTCTCCAGTTCATACAGACAACGTCACTCTGAGTTAAATAACCTTTTATAGGGTCAGAGATTCAGTCTGATGTTCCTTTTTAAATTTTTAAAAATTATTTATTTTTTGGCTTACAATACTATTAATAAAGGTTTCTCACGGACATAATTTCAAGACCACATCCATCACCAGAGTACTTCCTCCCACAAGGAACCCAAGCCCCCCACCCCCTTCAATTCAGTCGTGTGGATTCCTCCGCCTTTATGTCGCCGTTGTGTCTTTGTTGCTCCCTTGCTGTGTATCTTCTAAGTCCCACGTAAGAGACAGCAGCCTGATACTTCATCAGTTCCTGGGACAGAGCTGAGGCCACTAGTTGACTAGGCAGGAAGGACTACACTTCCCAGAATGCCCCAGTGCAGTTGTTAGGAGCAACCAAGGAATGCGGACTAACAGCCCTGCAGGGAGTCTGGATGCTCTGAACTGTCAGCTGGCCAGCCATGGGTCAGGATTATTATGCTGTCCTCAAGATCTCTTGCAATGCAAACGATATCCAGATCAAGAGGGCGTAAGTTGGCATGGAAGTACTGCTTTAGGGCTGAGCTGGGAGGGCCCTGCCCTTTTATCCAAACTCTAAGCCATGTTCCTATCTCTTTTGCATATCTTCCGGCTTTGGGCTGAGTCTTGTCCTTGTCCAAATCCCTCGTCCTTTTCCCCTTTGTTCTCTGATTCCCGGATGCTCTGGTCTTCATGGAACTGAAGTAGGGACAAATGAGGCATTTGAACTTTATCCTGTGTATTATGGAGAATTGAAAGGTTATAAAGTGAGCCGTGGGAATAGTTTAGTGGTAGATTTTCGGTCTGGCATATGTGAGGCCCTAGGTTCAATCCCCAGCACCAGAAGAAAGAAAAAAGAAAGATAAATGGGAGAATGACCTGGCCAGATGGATGTTTTACAGTTCCGTGCTAGCAGTCACCTGGCTTTTTTTGTTTAGTTTTGTTTGGGGGTTACACCCAGCGGTGCTCAGGCATCACTCTCAGTAATGCTCAAGGGATCATAGGTAATGCTAGGGATCAAATACTGGTTAGTCACATTCAAGGCAAAGCGCCCTCCCCACTGTACTATCTCTTCAGCCCCTGATCTGAGTTTTTGATGTTGAATGTATTGTATGATGTTGAATGTATTGATACTGATGTCGGTGGGCCCCACGGGTGACTCATGTGAAGCAGGGAGAAGAAAGATGGTCACTTTCTCCCCAACCGCCTCTGCCACCTGGGACCCAGGATTACTGGGTCCTGGTCTCTCAGAAAGGAATTTCAGGAGTAGACAAGCAGTGAAATAAATAGATTTTATTTGGAGGATTTTTAAGGTGTGGAGGGAGAGAGAGAGAGAGAGAGAGAGAGAGAGAGAGAGAGAGAGAGAGAGAGAGAGAGAGAGAGAGAGAGAGTAAAAGAGAACACAGGCTTCTCCAAGGACGGAGAGAGAGCTCCAACACACATCCTAGCATTAGACACGAAAGCATGAAAACACACATCTCAAGAGAGGAGATGCGGGCGACACATGTGCTCGGGCACCACATGTGCTCGGCCACGTGGGCGCAAACATACATGGGCTCGGGCAGCATATGTGCGCCCTTCCTTTGTTCAAGGTGGCCTTTATAGGGTTTCTCCAGCCTGGCCCCACGTGGGGCTTCTTCCCAGGTAAAAGTCCGTTGCTAAGGAGGTTATCAGGGAGGTTGGGAGCGGTGATGGTCTTCTTTGGGCTGAATCACTGAAGTTAACCGGATTAAAATGGAGGTCAGGATTTTCAAAAAGAGGAACTTCATGGGGAGGAGGCCTATATCCTCAGGGTCTGCCGATAGTCTTATCAGGTCTTTGTTTTCTATATCCACAAGGTGGATCAGTCCTAGAATTCTTCTTCCATGAAACTTTGTTAATCCAAGTTTCATTGTCAAGGGCCTTTTCCTGTCTACCTGCCTACCTCAATACTATATTTCTGAATACTTCCAACAAGGACTGTGGACTGTGTTTTGTTTCTAAGAAAGTCTAGGATGGTATTCACAGTAGTCAGTACAATTTTTTAGAAAATGAAATTTTAATTCTTCTTTAGAAAATGGAAGTATTTGTGGGGCCAGAGAGCTGGGGCCAGAGTGGGTAAGATGCCTGCCTTGCAGGCACTCGACCTGAACTTGATCTCCTGCACTCCCTATGATCCCCCAAGCCTACCAGGAGTGATCCCTGAAAGCAGAGGAAACCTGGAACATAACCAGATATGGTCCAAAAATCTAAAAAAGAAATAAAAAATAGAAATATTCTTTGATAAATATTTATTGAGTAGCTGCACTATGGTCTAGGTCTAGGTGTGGTGGTAGCAGCTGGAAATATAATTGACTCTGACATGCTGCTTAATTTTGTTAAATACAAAGATGTTGAATAAGGCCAACAGGTGAAGTAAATGTTACAAAGGGTGCTGCGAGTGTTATATTGGAAGGAGCAATAATTGGCCTATTGGAGAGTAAAGGGCCACCGTTTCGGGTCCCAGTAAGGCTGGCTGGGATCATAAAGCCACCTGTCGATTGTGCAAAGACAGTCATGGCTTTAATCTTCACAACCTCTCTGAGGTGAACGGATCATCTTTATCATCGCAAAGCCATGCAACTGTATTAGACCTCATGCCTGCGCTCATATTAGACCGATAGGTTGAGGACCCTGCCCGGCGCAGACAGAGGGACAGAGAAAAGTAAAGTGAAGAATCAGGAGAAGTTTATTGGGGTGCACTCCGAGGGGACCCTAATGTCTCTGGTGAGACTGGAGTAGAACTGCGCCTTGAGAGGCTGAGCAGGTTTTAAGTTACCTTGGGCCAAAAAGGAGTCAAGGTCAGTGGGAGTGATATGCCTGGAAGGTAGCTGGGGAAGGGCCAAGGCCTCGTCTTTGGTGCTGGAGTGAACACGGTGATCTTTGATTCCGGGAATGAATCAGCCGGCAAACCTCTCATAGATCTCAGATGCTGACTTGCCAGATCCTGAAAGGGGTATGTGGAGTCTACAAAGGTATTGGAAGAACAATTTACAAACTCGTGGGGCCAAACAATTTACAAACTCATGGGGCTGGGGAGATGCCCCAGCCTGGAGCACAGCTTTGTGTGGGGGACTCTGGGTCCCACCCCCCGTATCATTTGGTCTCCTGAGTTTTGTGGGGTGTGACCCAAACACCAAAATAAATGAATCAAAGATACAGACCCTGAATCAATTAGGGAACAATTCAGGATGGCATGTGGCGTCTGCTCTTCAGGCGTCTGGCCGATGAGACACCTGTAGGGAAAGACCAACAGGAGTGGGGGCAGTTGTAATACAGAAATATAACCCCCCAACTTTTGTGTTTTTAGATTTGGGATTTGGGGCAGTGGTACTCAGGGTACTGCATGTTGTTGAGATTTGAACCCAGGTCTGCTGCATGCAGAGCATGTGCTCAGCCCATGGATCTTGCCTGCCCAAGTCAAAATTAGAGTGGGGAGGCTCTTCCCGGAAGTTCTGGGCCTATGTTGTGCCAGGGACCAAACCCGAAACATTGTGTGAGTCTGGCATACACTTTAACCCTCTAAGCCATCTTCCTAGCCTCAGTGGAAGCCAAATTTAAATCCTGGAAAGATCCAAGTCTGAATCCAAGCTCTTCTTGTGAGCTCTGTGACAGGGCTAAAACCTCTCTGAGACCCAGCTCCTGCTCCTCAGGTGCTTGCTGTGGTATTGAATGAGGTTCCTCTGAGGTGATGAATGTCAAAGTGTCTAGTGATCATTCGCAGCCAAGTTCTAGAAAGGCTGTTTGTTTTGGTTATTTTTGGTTTATAAAAACCAGCTATAAAAACCAGCTCCTGGAAGAGAACAGTGCAGTCTCCTGCCCCCTCGCCTGACTGTCCTCGCCGCCGGGGCCCCTTGGAGGGGAGCGGGTTGAGCTTTCCTCCCCGCCCTGACCAGGGCTCCGGCAGCCAAAGACCTCCAGGACCAGCCACCACCATGCTGAGACCACTCTCCGCACACATGAAGGTACTGGCAGAGGGACAAAGCCACTCGGGTTCCGGGGCCGAGACCTCCAAGCCTACTCGGATTGGAGTCGAGCATCCTCCACCCAGATCCTCCAAATTCCAGTAGGCGGGGGTCACACCCACCACCTGGACCCCTGGCGCCGTGTAATCCCATCAACGGCCAAGACTCAGAGACTATAAAATCCAGCTCCCAGAACCGCCCGGCCGCATTTGCGGCTGCACGACATCTTATCAGGACATCTTTTTATGACTTCTTATTATCTCATTCCTACTTTGGACAAACTTGCAGGCTATCGAATGTAGCCTGCCCACAGGGCAGAGTCTGGCAAACTCCCCGTGGCCTACCAAATATGCCAAATACCAGTAACAATGATGGGTCTCATTCTCCTAAAGAGCCGTGAATATAATCTCAGGGATAGGATGAAAGAGACGTTACTGGGGCCTGCTCGAGGCAATCGACGATTAACAGGATGATTTGTGATTGTGATTGTGATTTTTGGTTTGGAGATTACACTCAGCCGTGCTCAGGGTAACTCCTGGCTCTGCACTCAGGGAGCACTCCTGGCTTGGGGCTCCATATGGGGTGCTGGGAATAGAACCCGGGACAGGCGCGTGCAAAGCAAGCATCTCACACGCTGGGCTGTCTTTCTGGAGTGTTCAGAAGAACCATGTTTGTCAGGCCAGGACGATAGCTCAAAGCGGTGGAGCACATGTCTTGCATGCTCGAGACCCCAGGTTTGATCTCTGGTCTCATATGGCCCTTTGGGTACCAACGGTTGTATCCCTGACACCACCAGAGACCCCCAGTGAAGCGGTCCCGAGGAGCAGGCGTGGCCACAAAATGGGGGGAGGGGGGCTGCGCAGATGTGGACATGGGACTGGAGCGAGGAACATGGGCTGTTCACGCCCTGTGGCCCCGCCTCTATGTATTTAGTTTTGTACTGGGGCCACAGCCAGCGGTGCTCTGCGCTTACTCCTGGCTCTGCACTCAGGGACCTCTCCTGGCGGGTTCAGGGAAGAGATGGGATGCCTGGGCCGGACCCTGTTGGCCTTGTGCAAGGCAACGGTGTGGCCTTGACCCCCTGCCCTTAATCCCTCCAAGAAGCCTGAATGTCTGCCCTACCTCGAAGATGTGCAAGAGAGTGAGGGCACTTACCTTGCACTGTGGGCCAGGGGTTCCATCCCCAACTCCGCATGGTCGCTAGGTAGGAGCGACCCAAGTGCACCAGGCCAGGTGTGGCCCCAAGGCCAAAGAGAAACATTTGAAAGGGGACTGGCCACGAAGACTCTGAGCACTGACCCCCACGACCCTGACATACCCCGAGAGCACGAGAGCTGCAGGCTGCTGTCAGCCCCCACCATCCTCACCCCTGCAGGTACCGAAAACTCGCCCTGAAGACCCACCCACTGAAGAAACTGGAGCCAATGGCAGCAGAGACGTTCAAGCAGATCGCAGAGGCCTACGATGTCCTGAGTGACCGTGAGTCGTGGGTGGCCACCCCAGTGTCTGTCCCCACCTTACCTTTGCCTTCCCCATTGGTGTTGGGCTTGCCCAGGGGCCCGGAGGAGAAATTCTTTCTCTTTCCTGCTCATCATCTGAGGCACTGAGAAAGGAACCGAAAGGAAGATGACCTCTCTCGGGCGAGTTGGCGAGCCCAGGGCTGACCGCTGCGCTCCCCTTAGGGTTTGTTGGGCAGAAGGGAGGCAGGCGGCAGAGGCAGGTGCTGACTTGAGAAGTCTCCGCTCCCCAAAGGCCTCCTGAGGCCCAGCGGCTGAGAGAGGCCTATCTGAGAGCACTGAGGGGAGAAATCTTTCTGTTCTGAAAACCATGAGGGGGTGGGGCTCTGAGTATCCACCCTTCGTAGGGGCTGGTGCCCACAAGGGAATCCCTGTGAGTTTATGGAGCAGGTCCTGGAGACAGTAATCCTAGATCCAGTGATCTAGGTCCATTGTGGAAACTGTAATCCTAGATCCAGGGTAGAGACTAATCCTAGATCCTGGGTAGATCCTCTAGAGATCCAGAGTAGACACTTAGAGGCTATAATCCTAGATCCAGGGTAGATCCTAGATCCAGAGTAGACTCTTGATCCAGAGTAGACACTGTCATCCCAGATCCTCTGTAGATCCAGTGTGGAAACTGTAATCCTAGATCCAGTGTAGATCCAGCGTGGAGACTATAATCCTAGACCTAGTGTGCATCCGAGATCCAGTGTAGACACTAATCCTAGATCCAGGGTAGATCCTCTATAGATTCAATATAGACTGTAATCCTAGATCCAGGTAAAAAGAATGGCTGGAAGCTTACCAAATGGGCCCCAGGCCTGAGTTTTCAAGACTTCAGAGCTCTTAGGAAGTCTCAGAAAGTTCTAGAATTGGAAGGCTCTAGAATTCTGAGGTTCTAACATTTCAATGCTCTTAGGAATCTGTTTACAGCAATGATGAGTGACTTCAACCAGGTCCCAGGAGGCGAACCAGACCCTCGGCATCTCTGTTCCTCGTCCAGTCCCCGTCCCTCCCCCAGCAGAGATCCCAGCCCTTCCCATCTCTCTGGACTGTGGGGCCATACCTGGGGCCAACCTGAGTGAAATGGAGCCCCCATTTCTAGGGTGTCCGTGTGAAATGGAAGGCGCTGAGTCTGCGCCTCCTTCCTCCCCAGAGCCGCAGACTCCCGGCCCTTGTCTGTCCTGGCCCTCGCTGTGCCCACCCCCGCTCACGGTCACACCTGTCCACAGCTGTGAAGAGAGCCATCTATGACAAATTCGGAGAAGAGGGCCTGAAAGGGGGCATTCCTCTGGAATTTGGATCTGAGACCCCATGGACGACGGGTTATGTCTTCCACGGCAACCCTGAGAAGGTTTTCCATGAGTTCTTCGGGGGCGACAACCCCTTCAGCGGTGAGAGGTCTTGCCTGTCCCTTTGCTTTTCGGGGAGAGGACATGGCTATAAGACATTTTATATGCACAAATTCATTGCATGGAAATGAAGAGGGGAAATTTTAATGTATGTATTTTTTCTTTTTGTTTTTGGGTCACACCCAGCTGTGCTCAGGGATTATGCCTGACTCAGTGCTCAGGAGTCCCTCCTGGCAGGGCTTGGGAGCCCATCTGGTGTGCTGGGATTGAACTTAAGTGGCTGCATGCAGAGCAAGGTCCTTAGCTGCTGTACTATCTCTCAAGCCCCAATTTTTCTTTTCTTTTCAGTTTTTGGGCCACAGCTGGTGGTGTGCCAGGGATGCTCCCATTCCTGTGCTTGGGGGTGGCTCTGAGTGTTGCTCAGGGGATCATATGAAATCAGGTGACTCAAATTCAGTATACTTGCATTCAAACCACTGAGCAATATCGCTCTTTGACCTCCAAAATGTTTTTATTTACTTATTCATTTATTTGGGGGGACCACACTTGGCGGTGTTTAGGGCTTACCCCTGGTTTGGTACTGAGGGATCACTCCTGGCAGTGCTCAGAGAAACATAATGGGTATCTGATTTGAACCCAGGTCATCTGTGTGCAAGGCAAGCACCTTACCAGCTGTATACTCTCTCTGGTCTATCCTCGGGGTTCTTGTATCACAGCTGGTATATCTGTACACTGAAAGGAAGTACATGTAAGTGAGTTCAACAGTACAAGAGGGACGAGGTTCTCAAAGACCCATCGCAGGGGGACTTAGTCTGAAGCCGCGTTAGTATGAAGCCCTCTGAGGGATTCCAGTGTCTCATCCCACGGCACTAACCCTCACTCACAGCTGGCACAAAGGCCTCCGGTCCTGCAAGCAGCACAGTTCTCCAACGCTCGAGCTTTGTAATCATCCAAGGGCCCCGGGTTCAGATCCCAATTTGACAGCTTTGCCCGCTGTGGGACGGAGCGTGTTTCGTGTGGCTTCTCCGAATCCAGGAGATAATAGAGTTGAGGAGGTGGAAATAGTACACCGGACACTGGGCAAGGGTCAATTCTTCCTCCTCATCTTATGGCATCCTGTGGGGTGGACAGTGGAGGAGAAGATGGCCCTGTGGGGAGGTAGGAAGGACTGACCCCGCTGAAAGTGGAGTTGTCAGTGGAGGGGATTTGTGGGGTTGGGGGTTGGAAAGAGAGTACAGCAAGTAGGGCGCTTGCCTTGCATGTGGCTGTTTGGCCCCAAGCACCTAATATGCTCCGAACCACCACCCCCAAGTACCGCCAGGAGTGATTCCTGAGTGCAGAGCCAGTCATGAGCATGGCCAGCTGTGTCTCATAAACAAAAGCGAAAACAAACAAAAAAGTTGAGTCATGTTGGCACTACCAGTTACCTCCACCAGAGGGCACCCCTCTCTGCCCAGGAAGCCAATGGGGAGGGCGTACCCCAAAGGATGGGGGAGGATGGAGGCAAGAGGGGACGCAGCAGTCGGGAGTGTCAGGATGGTGATCATCGGGGCTGCTGTTCAGGACAACTTCTTGGCCACGCCAAACAGTGTTTTTGGCACAAGGAGGTGTGTGTGTGTGTGTGTGTGTGTGTGTGTGTGTGTGTGTGTGTGTGGTATTTGTGCTGTTCAGTATCCGCGCTGACAGTTCTCTTCCTCCTCTCTTCCCACTTCCTGCAGAATTTTATGATGAAGAAGGGAAGGAGGTAGACCTAAATTTTGGGGGACTCCGGGGTCGAGGGGTCAAGAAACAGGACCCCTCCATTGAAAGAGACCTCTACCTATCCCTGGAGGACTTATTCTTTGGCTGCACCAAGAAAATTAAGATCTCCCGAAGGGTGAGCCCTTCCCTTGCTGCTTCTGGGAACCCACAAGTACCCCACCCCCCCAGCGAGACCCTCCTGGATACCAGCCCTGAATACCCTCCGCCATAGTCTCTGAGGAATCAGGGAGCCAGTGATCCTTTGTGTAATTCTAGATGCCTCAAGGCTGGAAGGGGGAACTGAAGGTATTAGCTCATTTCTCTCCTAAGGACCCCTCTGATGCTGGAATCAGAATCTCACCCTCTCAGCTCTCCAGGTCCCTCATGGGACGTTCCAGCTGGACCGGACCACATCTCACCTCTGGGGTTTCCTCTGGTGTAGCTTCAGGAGGAAGAAGGAGCAGTGTGGGCTGGGAGGGGGGCTGGGAACGCAGTTCCAAGGGGGGCAGGATGAGGAAGACCCTCTGTGGAATGGGCCAGCATCAAGGGACCAGTAACCCATAAGCACAAGCTCCCACCCCCGACCACCACACACACACACACACACACACACACACACACACACACACACCCATTGCCTAACCCAGGAGAACCCAGCTGCGACCCTGGTTTGCATGGCTGGTGGCCCTCGCCGGGGGACAGACAGAGGACACCATCTGCAGTGCTTGGGGATAAGAGGCCTCCATGGTCTCCCGCTCAGTGCCCTCGCCCACTTGGTTCCCAAGGCTGGAGCAATTGAGTTTGATCTACTCAACTGCCTGGGCCCTCAGCTCCAATTCCCCAGTCATGTCCCACCCTCCCGGAATCCCATGGCTTGAGCCTGGCAGGCGACAGTATATCCCCATAGTGGAGGGACCCCGTGAGGGGGGTCCTCAGAGCAGCTGGGAAAGCCGGCCTCCTCCCTGCTGCGCAGGTGCTGAATGAGGATGGGTACTCCTCCACCATCAAGGACAAGATCCTCACCATCGACGTGAAGCCTGGCTGGAGGCAGGGCACCCGCATCACCTTCGAGAAGGAAGGGGACCAGGTGGCGAGGGGGCTGACACCTGGAGGCACCGGGCGGGGAACTGAAGGGAAGGACATGAGCCTGTGGACCCCCCATGTGGGAGGGAGCCCACCTGCGTGGGGGGGGAGGGGTAGACACCTAAAGTCCCTTCCAGGAGATAGCACACATGCCTCTGTAACCAGGCAGCCCCGGGGCTTCTCCCCATTCGGCAGAGTGGGAAACTGAGGCCTAGGGAGGGAAGAGCTAAAAAGAGGGACTTGAGAGGTAGTGCAGTGGGCAGGGAGCCGGTCTTACATGCAGGTGGCCTGGGTTTAGGCCTTGGCGCTCCAAATCCTTCAGCAGAGTTCTGGGGTGCTGATGAAGCTTGGTGTACACCTGACTGGGGGCTCTGGCTTCACTCTCACTCTGCATGGGGCGGTGGGGCTGGGGCGGATTGGGGTTGGGGATGGGAAGCTTCTCAGTGGAGACCAACCTGAGAATATCTCCTCCTCCTCCTCCCCCTTCTCTGTCTTGCTTCTAGATTCCTCTCGTTTTTGCTGGGGGGTGGGCAGCTTGGGTCACACCTGGTGGAACTTGAGGACCATTCCCACCTCTGTGTTTGGGGACCAGGTCATGCCCGGGACGGAACTGGGGTTGGCTGCATGCAAGACAGATGCCTTCCCCCCGATCTAACGCCTCATCATTCCTTGGAGGATGCAGGGCCGTGGAGGCGGGAGCTTGGCCATGGTTGCGTGGCCAGTGAGTCCTTCCTCCCTGCTCAGGGCCCCAACATCATCCCCGCTGACATCATCTTCATCGTGAAGGAGAAGTTGCACCCGCGCTTCCGCAGGGAGAACGACAACCTCTTCTTCGTGTACCCCATCCCCTTGGGCAAGGTGCGCGCCTCGACCCCCCTGCCCCCCGCCCCGCCCACGGGCAGCCAACCTGGGCTACACTTCCTCCTGTGCCGTCTGACAGCCCCCTCTTAGGCCCACACTACTGGGGGTCTGGAGGTCTTTCCTCTGGTCCCACAAAGCCCTGTGCCTCCTCCCACCCACATGCGTCTTTCCCACCGGGTGCCCCTGAGGCAGAGGGTGCCCCACCCCTTTAATCCTTGGGCTGCCCTGGAGCTACTTTTGTCTGGATAACCAGGACCTTCCCCCACCACCAAGCCCTTTGCTTCTCCTGCCCCCAGGCCCTGACCTGCTGCACCGTGGAGGTGAAGACCTTGGATGACCGTCTGCTCAACATCCCCATCAACGACATCGTCCAGTGAGTCCAGCCGTGGGGGTCTGGCCACAGGGGCTGGGCTCAGAGTATATGTGTGGGGTCCTGGGGTGGCTGCCAGGGCGAGGAGGGGACTGGCCGTGTTGAGAGCTGTCTTTCCCGGACAGACGGAGCATCCCCTGAGAGAAGCCCCTCAGTGCCACAGTCTGTTGCCGTCTGCTCCACAGCACTGGGGAAAGCAAGTTATGAGGCCCGAATCCCTCCCAGGAAGGGCCCTCTGGGGATGGGAGATGGTTCCAGGGGCAGGCTGGCAGGGCTCAGTCAGACCAAGTGTGGGTGGGTTGGCCGTCTCCCGTCACCAGAGAGCCTCTTGGGAGGCACCCAGTGCGCTAACTCTCACTCTGCCAGGGATTCAGCTTAGCTCCTGCGTGAGCCTGGCGAGCCGTCACTCCTGCCCTTCCCTGGGAATGCAGTGTCTCCTGAGCCTCCCCAGAGGTTTAATGCAGCTGGGCCAGGTGAAAGCCAGGTGTGCCGGACAGGCCCCTTTCCTAGGCATCGGGCTGCTTAGCCTGTCGCTGGGGGAGGCCATGAGTGTGTCCCTGGCTCAGAATCTGTCCCCGCTGCTACTGTGCTCTGAGCCTCTGAGGTCTCTGCTCTTGGCCTCCCCGTTTCAGTCCCAAGTACTTCAAGAGGGTACCGGATGAAGGCATGCCGTTGCCCGAGGACCCCACCAAGAAGGGGGACCTCTTCATCTTCTTCGACATCCAGTTTCCCACCCGCCTCACTCCGCAGAAGAAGCAGCTGCTGCGTCAGGCTCTGCTGACCTAGCGGGGCGGGGGGCGGGGGGGAAGGAGGCGGGGACCCCTTATGCCCCCACCCAGCCTGGGGGGCGTGAGGGGCGACACTTGGACCTTCTACGGGTCACAATAAAGATTCATTTCCTGGCCCCTGGTTGCGCCCAGCAGTGTTTGTGGGGGAGAGAGGTGGAGCTGGGGGGGTGTGTGTTAGAGACCCCATGCTGAGCGCCTGGTCCCTGTGCTGCTGCTGCTGTGGGCATATAGGGAGGTCGAGGGCTCGAGTCTCCCCCTCATTCCAGTGTGACCTGGAGGGTCCCTAAGCTCAGATTTCTCTCGACCCACGGTCTCGGCAGTGACAGTCTCCTGCGTGTGCCAATGTCCCATTTAAGAGGAGCCACAGGGACAGTCCTGGGGCCCAGGGACGAAGTCCCACCCACTGCCAGCTCACGGCAACCCAGGCCTAGCTCTCTACCTTGGAGGCCTGGGCGGCCTCTAGGCAGGTGGTCAGTGAGGCAGAAACTCTGATGGCCCTTCTCAGGCTGTGGGTGAGGATGGTGTGTGGGGAGGGATGTGCTTGGTGAACTGACTCAGGGCTCAGGGCCCAGTATCACTGGCCTGCAGGAGGCAGGCAGCTTCCAGTGGCTCACCTGGCCTCCCCAGCAGTGCCCAGTGACAATCTCATGTCTGGGCTAGGACAGGTCCAAGGGTGGCACTGATTAGGTGGCTACTTTTTTGTTTTTGGGTCACTCTGCACTCAGGAATCACTCCTGGCGGTGCTGGACGTGCGGGGAAGCGGGGGGTTGTTTGGGGGGGGGGGGTAGGGGGAGAATGACCATGTGGGATGCCGAGGATGAGCCTGGATCAGCTGCATTGGCTCCCGAGTGTCAGACAAGGCTCCCCAAGGGCCCACCTTGCGTGGGTCCTCCTCAGCGATTATGGTATTAGCTTAAGTTTGGGCCCTAGGTTGGGGCCGGGTAGATTCACTGCCATTCTTCAGCCCTTGAGATATGGAGCTGGACCAGGGTGGTAGGAAGCACCTCTGCACACATTAACACGCTGACACTGGCATGTACCACGGGGGGGGGGGGGGGGGGAGCGCACACGGTTTCATATAAATTTGCTCACCTGTGTCAAAACCTTACAGTAGTTTCGGGCCAGAGCTATAGCTTTGCACGTGGCCAACCTGGGTTCAATTCAGGCACCACATGGTTTTTAGTGCACTTCCAGGAGTTGCCCTTGAACATCAGTGGGTGTACTTCCCACCAAAAAAAAAAAAAAAAAAGTGACCTGGGAGTCAGAGGCACTGACAGGCTGTGGATCAGCTGTGTGCCCTTGGGTGAGTCACTGCATCTCTCTGAGCCTTAGTCTCACACCATGAACCAAAACTACTCAGATTCGTTCTGGAAGGGGTAAGGCCAACTGCCCTGAGGCAGGAGCTGGAATTAGGGGTGCAAGGCACTATTGTGCGCTGAGCTGGTGGGCTGCAGGTAAAAGCCAAGGGATGCTGACCTCCCTTAGGGCAGTAGGAACTCAGACCCCTAATCTCACAGGGGGCACCAGGGTCAGGCCAGTCGGACTCCTAGCACCTCAGTGATCTTCAGCGCCACCTTGAGAGCCAGGCACAGCCGGGCTCATGATGGGCCCATTTTACAGGTGTGAGTACTTAAGACTGAGGAGTCAGGCCTGTTCCCTTTCCCAGCTCTTCTCAGCTTGAGAGCCACAGTAGCTGGTGGCCTGTCTTCACTCCAAGGTCAGTGAGCAGCTGACACTCCTGACACCTGGGCCAACAGACCACCTCTGTCTTCAGGGCCAGGGAGAGCTTGGCAGGCACAAGGCCCGGGTTTTATTTCTGGCACCACATGATCCCATGAGCACCACTGGGAGTGACCCACAAAACAAAACCCATGCCCTTGGCAGTGACCAGCACACCTCACTGGATTGTGTGGGGACTCAGGCGTGCCAACAGGGCACCCCGTCTATGCCGACACCCTGTACCCCAGCAGAGAGCAGCCTGGTGCCTCTCATGGCGACCCTCTCCCTCTTGGAAACCAGGTCTCTGCTCGGAAGGCAGAAATTTTGAGTCTTTTCTCCCCCAAGAATCTAGTGGCCTGTGCCCTGCCCAGGCTGGGGAAGGCCTGGCCCCCTGCTCTGACCAAGGCAGGGCTAGCAGCTGCTCTGGGCTGTGGGCTGTGGCTGCACAGCTGCCTGGCCTCCTGGATGTCCTTGTGGGAGGAGTCCCCTCCAGAGGGAATGGCCTGGTCTTGGTCCCAGTTCAGTCTCCGCTGACTTCCTGCGGATCATTGTGAGTCCTGTTCCACACATTTCTTCATACTCTTGTAAAATGGCCTGCAAGGGCCAGGCTGCAGCTCGGTGCTTTGGATGTGTGAGGTCCTGCATCTGACCCCCAGCACCCTCCCCAAGAGGAGGGGAGGCCTTGGCAACTTAATCTCACGGTTCAGTGCTGCCTGGGATGCGCAGGGATTCTGAGAGCTGAGTCCCTCCCTGCCAGCCGAGAGAGGGGGTGCACGGTGGCAGGGGGCTTCTCAGTCTCCTGCATCTCAGCCCAACGGCAGAGAGCAGCTCCTTAGGGGTCCTCCTCGGGAGTGGGGCACACCTGCGGCCCTGCTCAGGACTGTCACCCTGCCTCGGATGTGTCCACACAGACCAAGGAGGAAGCAGCCAGGCTTGTCCTCAAGAGGGGCTCATGCCCTGGAGAAGCGGTTTCCATGTGTGACGTGTGCCTGAGTGTCTCGGTTCCCCTCAATCAGTTGGAGAGGCAGCACAGCGGGCAAGGCGCTTGCCTCACGTGTGCAAAGGACAGCTGGCCATGGCTCCCCAAAGGCACATACAGAAAAATCACTCCCAGAGCTACAGCACAGTAGGTAGAGCCTGCCTGGCAGGTGGCTAATCTGGGTTCCATCCTGGGTAACCCAATGGTCTCCAGAGCCCTGACGGGAGTGGACTCCTGAGCACAGAGCCAGGAGTAAGCCCGAAACACTGCCAGATGTGGCCCCCCCAAAACAAAACATTCCTCTGAATCTTCCAGGAAGCACGGGAGGTGCTGCAGGGCAAACAGGGCTGGGCCAGCCAGGGCTGGGAACCAGAGAGCGGCCTAGCGGGATGGGAGGCACGGATGAGCCCTGCTGGGACGGGATGCTCCTTCTCATCTGGAGAAGACATCCGGGCCTGGGGTTGAGGGGAAGGTGGGTCACCAGCACCAGCAGGGGCCCAAGGGCCCATCAGACCAAGAGCTCAGGTAACAGGTACGAGAGGGCGGACTCCAGGGCTGAGTGCTTTATCGAGGTGACAAGCTGGCTGGGCGGGGGCGGGATGAAGCTTCTCGAAGGACCCAAGGGCTTGGGATCCTGGCAGGTGCCAGTGTCCACTGGGGTTCTGGCCAACAGGATGGAGCCTGGGGAGAGGAGGCAGGGAGGGGTGGGTGCGGGGGGGGGGGCAGGGAGGGGGAGGAGGAGGTGGCAGGAAGGTGGGAGGAGGAAAGGAGCAGTGGGCGGAGCCAAAGTCAAAGCCAGATCAGGTGGGCTCAGAGCGCAGCCTCCCGGGAAGCGCGGGCAGCCATGAGAGCCCGCTTCAGCTGCTCGTAGGTGACAAACATCACCACGTTCCAGGAACCCAGGCGCAGGAAGGAGGGCATGAACCTAGGGAGGAAACACACGTCACAGGGAATCCGGGCCGCCCCCGAGGGCAGCTTCACCTCCCGCTCCCCAGCCTGGGCCCTGGCATGAGTGGGGACAGGAGGAGTTAGGAGGCCGGAGAGATGGCGCAGGGGGAAGGCGCAGGCCATGCATGCAGTTCCATCGAAGGTATGGGCTGTGTATGCAGTTCCATTGAAGGTATGGACAGTGCATGCAGTTCCATCTCCAGCACCCCCTACGTGACCCCTAAATTCAGAGTCAGGAAGACGACCGGGGACTGTTTGACCAATCCCAGAAACAAATATTTGGCACTTGGTTGCTATCCTGTCCCAGCTGGCTCCCACCCACCTGTGTGACTTGGAAGAACAGGCTGGGGGCTCACCCTTTATAGAAGGCTCGGGGCCCCTCCTTCTGGAGCATGGTGAGAGCACAGTGGGCAGCGCTGCGGTACTGGCCCAGGGAAGAGTTCATGAATCTCGTCTTCACCACGTCCACAGGGGAGGCGATGACGGTGGTGCAGAAACCCGCCCCAAAGGCGGAAGTGAAGTGGCACGGGAGGTCATCTGGGAGGGCAAGGGAGAGGCAGGGGTGTCAGGTCACAGGGCAGGGGAGACCCCTGTGGGTCCTGTGGTTCTTGAGGTCTCAGCTGGGGGCCTCTTGAGAACTCAGTGTGCCAATGGAGCCCCAAGGCTTCATCGGGGGAAAGGGGAATGAGACAGTTGACATTGGGGGGGGGGGGGGGGAGACAGGATGAGAGATACGGTCTTCAGGCCCCCAACCCCCACTCTGGGAGAGCCAAGCTCGTCTCCACGCTCACCCGTCATGAGCTTGGCCTTCAGGAGTGTGTCCTTGATGAGGTCATAGGTCACCAGCTCGGCACAGTTGACAATGGCGCTCCGAGCCACATTGGGAGAGGTGCCTAGAGGGGGTAGGGGTACCTGTGAGGCTGGGGGGAATGGGAAGAAGGGTGCCTGGGGGGCGGGGGGCAGCGGAGCCCGGCACATACCTTTCCAGAGGCCTCGGAAGCCTTCCTCACGGGCGATGATCTTGTAGGCCTCCACGGTGCTCTGGTACCTCCGGCCACCCCCGGCCCGGGCCTGAGCCTGGAAGCGGACCTTGACCACATCCGTGGGCTGGGCCACGGCCACAGCCAGGGCACCCGTGGTGCTGCCTGCCAGGAGGCGGCTCCCGATGCCGGCATCTGTGGGAGAGCCGGGTGCTGAGTACCGGCCGGCCCCGCACTCTCTCCTTCCCGCACACTGCAGTTTCAGGATCACAAATTTGGGCTCACCCATGTTCCAAGACGCTCATCCAAGGATCACTGTGGGGCCTACTACTCACTAGGCACCGGGACAGTAGGAGACCTGGTGCTTCTGATCAGGAAGTGTGTTCCCTGGCAACACTGAACCCGCTCGACGGCCCCAAGGAACCCGCACCATTTCCGTGTAAGGATGTGAAAACTGTGCCGCAGCGCCAAGCCCCCAGGGATGGGGCTTCCTGCAACAGGTTCGCGTGCCAGATCTACTTCTTGGCCACATCATCTCGGGCAAAGCAAAGTTTTCGGTCTGGGTGCCCATCTGCACTGCCTGCTGAGAAGCTAAGATGGGAGCCTGCAACACCAGTGCACCCCAGTTTCCTCCTCTGAGCTGAAGGATACTCGCCTCCTTTCCCGAGTTACCTGTGGGGACTCTCCTGGTCCGGGGCACTGCTGGGCACCCCTTAGGAGAATCAGGGGCTCTTCTAGCCTTGGGGTCTGTGAGGTGAGATTCCAGGGTCAGGAGCCCACTTACTCTCGGAGCCTTTGGTGTAGAACTGCTTGACCGAGTCATAGAGGCCGATGCGGACGGAGGCGAAGCTCATCTGGCGCTGCAGGCCCGCCACCAGCCCGTTGTAGAGGCTGCGGGGACCCTCGGTGCGCACCATGGTCACGATTGTGCCCAGCACGCCACGGTACTGCGTGCTGGCGGCGGCCCTCGCTGGCCCCTGACTTTCTCCTTGGATCTGCAATGCCATGGCAGAGCAGTTAGAGGAGAAACAGAAGGTCTTCCTGGCCCCACCGGTAGTCACTGGGTCCCCAAGCTGATCCTCCCAAAGGGCCCCGGGCCCCTGAAGGAGTTTTTCTCAGGCGAGCAGAGCAAGGCACCACCAGGCCCCCAGCTGCACCCCCTCACCTGCAGCCGGACCTTCGCTGTGTCCAGGGGAAAGGTGATGAGATCTGCGATGCAGGCCGCGGTACCCGCCCCCAGAAACTTCACAGTGGCCGTGGGGGGCACGTCTGTGGCCTTGAACCCCACCATGACGCTGACTTCCTGCTGCCTCCCAAGAGATGGAGAAGAACTGGAGAAGGGGACACGTCAGCCCCGAGACGAGATAGAGGAACTCTGCTGGGTCTGAGCAAAGGGACAGAAACCCCATCAGCTGCAAGAGCCCCACGGCCTCCCCTCACCACGCCCACCTCCTCCCAGAGCAAGTCTCTGTCCAAAAGTTCTCCAGGGACCGGAGACATAGTGCAGTGGGCAGGGCTTGTTTTGCATACAGCTGACCCAGGTTCGATCCCCGGCACCTCCTATGGTCCCCTGAGCACAGAGCCAGGAGTAGGCCCTGAGCGTCACCAGGAGTGACCCAAAAACTGTTAAAAAAATTTTTTTTTCCAAGAGAGGGTAGAGGAGCAATTCCTTGTGAAGGAGCCCACATTTGGGCTGATATTCAGGGGTGAGGGTGACTTGGGCAACACCTGGTGGTGCTCAGGAGCTACTCCCAGCACTGAGCAGAGGTTGCTGGGGGTCCATGAAGTGCCGGGGCCTGAACCAGGGCTGGCTGCATGCAAGGCAAGTACCTTAACCCTGGTCCGAGCTCCTTCTAGCCTGCCCTGAATCTCTTAAACAGAAGTTCCCGAAGACCTGCAAGTTCCCAAGCCTCGCTGGAAAGGAACGGAGATGATCAATCTAGACCTTCTCCCATGCATCCATGGAGCTCTTTCCCCGCCCCTGCAGACCTTGGGCCCAGCAGTCATTCTTTTAACAAGGCTGCTGTGCACTGGCCGGTATCTATCAGAAGATGAAATCTACCCTAGAGAGGCAGGTGGGCACAGGGGCAGATGGGGATTCAAGCAGAACATACTTTCAGAACGCATGGGAGCAAACCGCCAACTCCACGGGGGAGAAGGAAACGCAGAGATGGCCACCAAAAGAACTTCTCTAAGTACAGTGGGTGGGGTGCTCGTCTTCCATGTGGCCGAAGGGGGTTTGATCCCCAGCACCCCAATAATCCCCCCAAGAGCTGCCAGGAGTAATTTCTCAGTGCAGAGCCAGGAGTAACCCCTAAGCATCACCAGTTATGGCCCCCAAACAAAAACAAACCAAAAAGGGAATTTAGAAAAGGTAACATCTTGGCAGGCTTTGAACTTGGCCAGGCTGAACGAGGGCAGGGAGCTCGGTCTCCCTCTCTGGTCAGTGTCCTCCAACACAGGGCAATCTACAGCTTCGCCACAAGAGAGGTGGGCCTGGGAGGGCGGGCCAGAGCTCGAGTGACACAGGAAACCCAAACTCCATTTTGTTCTCAGCCTCGGCCTGGTGCCACCCTCCTCCCTGGGCTGCTGCCGCAAGAGGAAGTGAGCCCAGCACCCCGAGGGGGAGGGCGGCCACTGGGGCTCCTCGGTGCTTCTCCGCTCTCAGCCTGATTGGCTGCCTCTGTCGCTGGGCTGGAGGGAAGAGCCTGGGCTGCAGGGGGCGGGTGTGGTGAGGGTTTGTTATGAACAACATAGAGACCCAGGGAACACAAACAGCCTCACCAGAGCCTTCCCTCTAGGGCATCTCAGCCTAGAGGTGGGGGCAGAGAAACCACAGGCTACTCAGCAATTAACTGCCTGAGCTCCTGCAGGGCGGGGCCTGGCCCACCTGAGGTCCAGTGAAGACTGGGGAGCGAAAGACCGAGGGGAGGTGGTCCAGGCTCGCCCCCCCCCAACTCTGACAAGTCCCCTCAGCCTGACAATGCCGGGAGCACGCTCAGCTTACTTTGAAGAACAACCCTCAGCTGTGTTAGAGAAGGGAACTGAGGGAGGCCCTGTTTAGAGAGAAGGGAACTGAAGGAGGCCCGGTCTGCAGCTCCACTGTGGAAGCTCTGGGCACGGGTACCAGAGCATTGCTCTCCATCGCTTCCTCAGGCCCCTGCACAAGACATACCTCTCCACATTATTCGACATGCAAGTTCTTCCTGCCCAATATGATTCTATTTTCTTTCTTTTTTTTTTGGTTTTTGGGCCACCTCCAGCAATGCTCAGGGGTTACTCCTGGCTCTGCACTCAGAAATCACTCCTGGCATTGCTCAGGGGACCATACAGGTTGCCAACCTGGGTCTGCCGCGTGCAAGGCTCAATGCCCGACGCGCTGTACTATGGCTCCGGCCCCTGCCAATGTGATTTTGAGAGTCCATCAAACTATCGTCCTTCCTCGCGTTAGCAGAGACACACGGTGACAGAAGACTGTTGTGTCCTAATCTGAGCTGCTTGCAAGGTGTTGTGCAGGCCAGGAAAGAATGGCCTGGCCTCCCAGCAGAGGCTATACTGTTCTGCTGACGTGCTTCGGGTTTGCCATCTATCAGGTCCTTCAGCCCATGGGTACAGGGTCAAGATCACCAGAACCATAGCTCCTATTAAGAGGAGCAAGTAAAGAGCAGGCTGAAAGGAGTCCAGCTGCAGCCCCCAGCAAACAACCATCTGGGTGTCCGAAAGATCCTACCCGATTCCTAATCTCAACTGTGGCCCCGATGCTGACATCAGCAATATGGAGTCAGAATAACCGGTTCCCGGACCAGTCTGCTAATTCAAGGTCGCTCGGGGAGGATGTTTTCTTCTTCGTAAAGACCATGGCCCTGGGCAGCCAGTTCATGCCAGAACGTGAGCAGAGATGTAGGGCCGTGGAGGGGGGTGATTTGGGGTTCATATCCAGCCCACAAGGCCAGTAGGCAGAACCCTCCCTTAGACTGGAGTCTTACCTGGCTTTGGGAGGACTCACGCCAAGGCCATGAAGATCAAGCTTCTCTAAAAGCATCCCATTCCTCAAAGCTGCCAGAGGCGAGCATGGCCTGGTCCCCGTGGTTTTCCATAAAAAATGACTGGGAGACGAAGCACCTAACGGTCATACTATGTGTCCTGTGGATGAGGGCAAAGGAGGACAGTTTAGAAAGGGAAGGTCACCTTTAAGGAGCAGAGCCCGGCTAGGAAAGGGACGCGAAAAGCCCACTCCACAGTCCTCCTCTCTCTGCCATCTGCTCTAATAGCACACACCGACGCCCTCAGAGACGTCCGCTTGCGTGGACATTCATTAGAGGAAGCCCCATCCCCCACCCCAAGGCAGACAGCGGACCGGCGAGTGGGAGCACTGGCAAGGGTGCGACTGGATGGGAGCCAAGGATACAGAACACCACCAGAACAGGGGTTTCAGGGCCTCCAGGGGCTGGAGCAGGGAGCTTATGGCCTCCTCCCAGCAGAACGAGTTCCAGCAAGAAAAGGTGACGGATGAAGAGAGAGAAGAGGCAGAGGAAGCGGGTGCGGACGGTAGAGAACAGGCTGGGTAGCGGGGGAATGAAAAGGCAAAGAAGCCGGCGTGGAGGAGGTGTAGCGGAGTCAGGATAAGGGCGGGCCGGGCTCACCGGACCACAGGGAGAACAAGAGCGTGCAGCAGCGGTGTCGGCGGGCGGAGGGGAAGTGGAGGGAGCGCAGGCGGGTTATCTACCCGAGAGCTCGGCGGGCCGGCGCGGAGTGGGGTGCGCCCGGCCCGCCGCGCGGTTTTATCCCGGGCGGGGCGGGGCCTGGGGTGAGTGGGCGGGGTCTGGGGTGAGTGGGCTTGGCCCATGCTCAGGGCCGACAGAGGGAGAGAGCGGGATGCGCTGAGGGGGCGGGGCCTCGGTCGGACCGAGGGGCGTGGCCCGGACAGAGGGGCGGGGCCTGCGGCTGACCCGGCAGTTGGTCCGTTGCAGCGGCGGCTCCAGAGTTCTCCGTACGCCGTTTCCCACATCTTTTTTTTTTCCTTTCTTTCTTTTTTTTTTTTTTTGCCTTTTGGGTCACACCCGGCAATGCACTCCTGGCTCTTCACTCAATAATTTCTCCTAGCGGTGCTCAGGGGACCACATGGGATGCAGGGAATCGAACCCCGGTCGGCAACGCCCTGCCCGCTGTGCTATCGCTCCAGCCCCTCCCACACCCTTTCTTGTTGGCGGGCCCGGGGTGCCACAAACTGTCACCCCACTCCGTCTCGTCTTCCCGTCCCGGCCTGGCCGGGAGTGCCAGCCTCATGGTGGGTGGGAAGGGCACGACAACCCGGAGAGAAGCAGAAGGGACCCGGGGCCAGCCACGGCTCCCGCCCACCCCCCGCCCCGGCCCGGCCCCGCGCTCGGTCTGCGGCAGCCCTGAGGGTCGCGCGGCCGGGCGCTTCCTCCCTCACGCGCTCGGCCCGCGCCCCGGCCCCCGCCGACCGCTAGCCCGCTCGCTCGCACGCGCCGTCTGCGGGGCGGGGCCTCCCGGCCGTCCTCGCAGCCGATTGGCTCCGGCGGCGCCGCGTGGCCGAGGCGAGGGCCCAACCCGGCTGCAGCCGCGGCAGGTGCCGGCGACCAACGGTCGCGGCGCGCCCGCCGCCTCCGCCGTCTCCGCTGTCTCCCGCCGCCCTGGCCCGGCCCTCGGCGCCCCGGCGCTCTGGCCGGGCGGGCGGGGACATCGGGGGCGACAGCAGCTGGCCTGTCGGCGCCCCTCAGAACAGGCAGAGCAGGGCTGGCAGGGGAAGGGGGCTGGGAAAGGAGTTTTGGCGGGGGTGACCCACACGGATACTACCAGTGACAGGGACCAAAAAAAAAAAAACCACGTGCCTTTGAGTAGAAAAGCTGGGTCTCAGGTCGCCTGGGGCTTTCCTCGGCCTTGATGGTGTGCTGACGACCCCTTCTTCCTGTTTCTCTCTTCCTCTCTCTCTCCCTCTCTTTTTCTCCCCCTCTCCCCCTCTCTCCCCCTCCCTCTCTCTCCCCCTCCCTCTCCACTCTCCCTTTCTCTCCCTCCCTCTCTCTCCCTCTTCTCTCTCCCTCTCTCCCCCCTCTCCCTCCCTCTTCCTCTCCCTCTCCCTTTTTCTCTCCCTCCCCCTCCCTCTCTTTTCCTCCCTCTCCTGCTCTCTCCCTCCCTCCCTCCCCCTCTCTCTGGTTCTCCCCCTCTCCCCCTCATCTCCCTCTCCCTTTCCCTCTCTCCCCCCCTCTCTCTGGCTCTCCCTCCCTCTTCCTCTCTCCCTCTCTTCCCCCCCCTCACCTCTCCTATTTCTCTATATTTTTGGGGGGCACACCTGGCAATGCACCAAGTTCCCGCAGGACATTAAGTCCTTTCCTATAGTTTGAATATTAGCACCCCGAAGGCCGAGTTACAGCATAGCTCCCATGGGTGATGTTTAGGATGCTGTGGAAGTTGCTTGACAAATGTCGTGGGAGAATTGTGAGTGCCTTTGCTGTGTTCAGGTTCTATGTGGAGAAACTTACTTTATAAGGATAAGGGACTGATCCCAAAGTATATCAAGTCACCTACCCCTGGGAGGTAGTATGCTAAAACTAAATGCTGGCCATGCTGGCAGCATTGTCCACAGCCAACATGGAGTTACCAGTTGGAGATAAAACAGCTAGAATGAAAAATTACAACAGAGAAGAAAAATGAACAAAGCACATGGAATAAGTAGAAGTTAACACAGTATTTTGGCACTGGAGAGGCATCCATTCAGTTGGAAATACACACACACACACACACACACACACACACACACACACACACACACCCCGAAAGAATAAGCTGCTTGACTACTTGTCCTTGAGCAGAATACCTCAGAAGACTATAGAGGAAGAATGTAGAAAGAGGAAATGAACAGAAGCAACTGAAAATTGGACTAAGCTTGTGCCAAGACAGGTCCAATGTTGACTCTAGCCTTTCACACATTTCAATACCTTTCAAGTTCATTGCTGCTGAAAAAAAAGGAAAGTAGGTTCTATTAATCATTACCTCGACCAAAACCAAACATGAAATGATCTCATTGCATCTTAAGACAAAAACAATTTTAAAAAAACCACCTCACCTTGCCTCAGCAACAGTTAAAACGCTCAGTTCTTGAGAAGGAAGTTCTCTTGGGGTGAGGTCTTTATTTCTAGAGACTTGTCCAGCTGACCTGAGCACCTGGATTCAGCTTGGTTCTGGAATTTGCCTGCATGGCTTGGCCTTCGTCCTGCATGATGATGGAGGGTAGGATCAACTGGCCTCATTAAAGCAGTGGGTTAGAATGCTGAATCTTCCTGACCAGACTTGTTTGCAAAGACTCAGGCCAAAGTAAACAACGGGAGTCTCACCTGCAAATTGGATCATTAGACCTTCCCCAGAGGCAAGTTCTGTATCTTCAGCAGATGCTGCCCTTTCTGCCACTGCTCAGGAGAAGAGAGTACAAGAGAATCTGAGGAGGCTGTTGTAGACATGAACTTTGATTTTTGGAACTTCTCTTTGTTTTTTGGGCCATACCCAGGGGTTGCTCTTGGCTCTGTGCTCAGGGATCATTCCTGGGAGGCTCAATATGGGATGCTGGGGACCAAACCTGGGTCAGCCACAAGCAAATAAGCGCCCTACCCATTGTATTATTTCTCCAGTCCGGGGGTGCTACTTTTACTAATACTTCACTAGTAGGGTTGAAAGGTTTAACGCTCACACACACTGATGCAGTGCAGTTTGCATCCTGTAGTGCTGGGTGCAACCAGAGTCAGTGCAGTTGACTAAGGGAGCATGTGCATGCAGGGCATGTACCCCTGGTCACTGGCCCATTATTTTAAAGGTAAAGGTAAAGGCCCTCCCGTTGATCGTCGATTTGCTCGAGCAGGCCCAGTAACGTCTCCATTGGAGACTTTTGTTGTTACTGTGTCTGGCATATCTTTAAATTCACTTGAGATGTTACGTGGAACTATGCATTGGAGCAGTCATATAGTGGGTAAGGCTTTCCTTGCATGCAGCCAACCCAAGTTTGATCCCAGGGACCTGTATAGTCCCTGAGCACTGCCAAAGTGGCCCCAAAACAAAACAAGGCAAAATTTTTTTTTTCTTCTGGTTTCTAAAAAAGAAAGAGGAGAAAATGGTAACAGAAAGCCAGATAGAAATACTTTTACAACAACAAAGACATGAAATGATTTAGGGTACGGAGAGATAGTGCAGTGGTTAGGGCAGGTAGCCTACCGGAGTTTGATCCTGGCATTCTAAATCGTTTCCTGAGAGCTGCCAGAAGTGATACCTGAGTATTACAGTCCTCAGGCCAGGTTAGTCTTCCTAGCCCAGCAGGGTCCGAGTCTCCTCGTTGCTTACTTTTGGATCATGACAGCATTTGTCCATGATCATGCCCTCAACTTATAGTTGAGTATCGTGGCACTTTGGCCTGGCCCATTTCGATGCCAGGGTAGCTCACAGCTTGCCCTGGGTCCATTCAGTCCCTCGTCAGGACCCTGCTTTTGGGGTGCTAGGAACTAAGGGCAACTGAGTCAAGAAAGCAGATGCCCAGGAGTAAATATTATTCGGAGTCAATCAACTCCCAAGTTACAAAGCATAATATTAACTGTCTTCCTGTGTCCATACAGAAAGGACATTGCTTTGAGGTAAACTATGCAAAGGACATAACTTACAAGTTCAGTGTCCTTAGAAGGATCTGATCTTACAAGCTAACAGAATCTGATTAGGGAGAAAAGGTGATTAACTGGCTGGGGAGGAGAACACAGAGAAGAGTTTACAGATAAACAGAGGAATGGGAGTGACTCGGGAGCACGGTGATGGGTGTAACCCAATAAACCTGAGCTCCCTGTGGCAGTGTTATTCTACACTTCTGTGTTTATGTGTTTTACAATTTGTCCCAGTTGAACTCAGGGTCTCATTCTTGTGAAAATTTTCTTTTTTTTTGCTTTTTGGGTCACACCTGGTGATGCACAGGGGTTGCTCCTGGCTCTGCACTCAGGAATTACTCCTGATGGTGCTCAGGGACCACATGGGATGCTGGGAATTAAACCGAAGTCAGCCACTTGCAAGGCAAACGGCTTACCCGCTGTGCTATCGCTCCAGCCCCATATCTTTTGTTTTAAATGTGATATCTTAGAGAAGGGAGCACCAAATGGAGGGTGTTTGGAGGCTCCTCCCAGGAGGGGAGATGCAGGTTGAAAGTAGACTGGACTGAACATGTTTGCCACTCAATGCCTCTTTTGCTGATCACAACACCCAAAAGGAGAGAGAAAACAAAAGGGAATGCCCTGCCACAGTGGCGGGGGAGATGGGGGAATGGAGGGGAGGGATATTATCCATGGTGGTGGAAAATGGGCACTGGTGGAGAGATGGGTATTTGATCATGGTATGACCGAAATCCAAGCACAAAAATTTGTAAATCTACAACTGTACCTCATGGTGTTTCACTAATAAAAAATAAATTAAAAAAAAAAGTGATATCTTTACTTAGCCATGAAAAGGAATAAAAGTCTGGAGATGTAGTTCAGTGGTAGACACATACTTGCATTCATGAAGCTCTGGGTTCCATTCCTACACCAAGGAAAAAAGTGGCCATTACAATATTTAATTTTAAAATAATTATTTAAAAATAAATAATAATTTAAAAATAATTTTGAGTTTGGGGCCACAATTGGTTATCCTCAGGGCTTACTCATGGCTCTGAGCTCAGGGATCGCTCCTGGAGGGCTAGGGGATTGCCAGGGATGCCAGGAATCAGACCTAGGTCAGCTGAATGTATGGCAAACACTGTCATCCA